AGCCCTTGGCTGCTAACCAAAAGGCCAGCAGTTTGAGCCCACCCAGTGGCAATGTGCTTTCGTAAAGCTTTACACCCTAGGAAACCCAATGGGGCACTTCTACTCTTTCAAATTAGAATCGATTTGATGGCAACTAACATTTTAGTCAGTGGGTTATGATTTGTTGTTATTAATTTGAATGCTTAAATTGCCCTAGATCTGGCCAGTGGGGGCCCTGTTCAGCTGGTTCCTGCATCCTTAGGTGTGTCCCCATCATTCCTTTGAGCTCTTCTTTATCCTCTGTCCTAACAAGATATTCCAAGTACATAGCAGTCTTTCCCTGCCCCAGCCTGGAATCAATCACCCATTTTCTAAAGGAGCCCTGGTCCTTTTTAGCAGCAGGTGGTATTTAGAAACCAAGATCTGGGTGTACTAGGTGTGCTCGTTGCTACTGGGGTATCATTGCTCCTCCCAGGCCCTCTCAGTGGACAGAGCTTATAATATACGCGTACACACACAGGAACATACACATATCTGCACACACATTTACATCTCTGTGTGTTTCTGTATCTGCCTTTCTATCTACCTAGACACTTAAGCATAGGCTCACAGGGATACTTCCAATCTAGCACCAGCAGCATTCTGATTAGCCTCCCCACTTCCACACTTCTCTCTTTTCTGACAGTAAGAACTGGGCTTCCTTTATCCTCAGTATCTCTCCTTATTGTTCCCCCTGCACATAGCTGAGCTGAGCTCCCAGTCCACCAACCTCATTTCCCACCTTCTACCAACACCGTGTTCACTGGGGCTCCGCTGCCACCAGCTGCCTTCTCTTGGAGTCTTTTCAACATCTGATCAGGCCACATTCCATTCTGATGCATTTTCAGAAGAAGCCGGCTCGCTTCCCATTTGATTCCCTGGAGGGCAGAGGCTGCCAGAAACAGGGAGCTAGGGGCAGGGGAGAGTATGCCCCCAAGAAGAGTCCATGCAGCAGCCTGGACACCCTTCTGCCTTGGTGTTACAGCTGGATTTTGGGCCCTGCCCTCAGGACAACAACTCTTCATTGAATCTGACTGTGTTTATCAGCAGAAGCAAGTTTCTGGAAGCAGAAAGAAGAAATGGCTTTTTTTGTAGTGGGGCAGGCCCACTTCATCCTAGAAAGGGCCTCCCCAGTTCCCAGCCATGTGTACACATTGCCCTGCTTCCCTGGACTCCCCTGGTCCCAAGTTGCTGTTACAAGTGTATATGTAATGGCAATGTGTATGTATGTTGCCATTACAAGTGTGCTGTATGTCCATTCATTTCAGCTTTCTGCATAGATTTTCTGTGTCTGCTGAGTGGGCTAGGCACCGGGCCCAGTGCTGGCAGATGGTCAGGGCCAGCATTTTTCCAGGCCACTGACCCTACTAGTGAGCCTGGGCAACACCCCAGGGATCACATCGGTGTTAGCATCAGCCCCACATAGAGCAGAAAGGTGGGGATAGATCTGTAGCCCCAGTGTCAGCATTTTAAAGGCACCTCTCAGGGCTTTTTACTAATTGGCTAAATTGTAAATCTCATTGCAGTTGAAAATAATTTTCTAAATTGCCAACCACCTTCTGAATTACCCCATGCTTTGGGAATGTCGTTAGGTGCTATAGAGGCGATTCCAACCATGACAATTCCGTGTGATAAAGTAGAACTGCCCCATAGGGTTTTCTTGGCTGTGATCTTTATGGAAGCAGATCTCCAGGCCTGTGGCCCTGTGAGTTTGAACTGCGATCTGTCACTGAGCAGCTGAGCACATAACCATCATGCCACCGGGGCTGCTTGGGCTTTGGAAATGCAATTCATTATTCCCCTTCTGAAAAGGCCTTCCCCCCAGGCCTGTATATAGCGACATTGCTTCCTCCCACCTATGACTGAAGAATCTCCTGAGCGTGGTGGCTGTGAGCATGCTGTGCTGGGGGACACGACCTCCAGCAGTGCAGCTTTCATAAGCCCATTGGTTCTGCCCCTCACACTGATCAAGGGAGTGTCTGTCCTCTGGTTTTTGCCCAAGGAGAGCAGTGTAGCTGCCAGCACAGAGGTACGGGAAGAATGCCTTCCTGTTTCATTCTGAACTCTGCTAGGATTTTCCTTCAGGTCTGAAAGCTTTGTCTGACAAGGTCTTTTTTGGTTGGTTTAGTATACCCCCAGAGTTGTGCGACCATCACAGTGTTAGAACTCCTTCATCACTCCCTTGGCACTCAGTCTCTTCCCCTCCTCCCAGCCTCTGGTAACCACTCATCTACTTCCTGTCTCCATGGGTTTGCCTGTTCTGAACATTGCCTGTAAATGGGATCAGACACTGTGGCCTTTGGGCCTGGCTGCTTGTACTCAATGTGATGTTTCTGAGGTTCATTCGTGTTACAGCAAGTATCAGAACTTCATTCCTTTTTATGACCAAACCGAACCTCAGGCCATTATATGGGTGCAGCTCACTTTGTTGATCCGTTCATCCACTGAGGGATGTTTAGGTGTTTCTATTTTTTTGGCTGTTAGGAATAACCCCACTGTGAACATTCACAGTGGTGGTTTCAGATCCTGTGGGTATATATACCTGGGAGTGGAATTGCTGGGCCATGTTAACCTTGTGTGTGTGTGTGTGTGTCAGTGATTTGGGTGAGAGTTTACAGAGCAAATTCATTTTCCATACAACTGTTCACATACTTTTAGTTAACCTTTTGAGGAACTGCTAGGCTGTTTTCTAAAGCAACTGCACCATTTTCTACCCCCTGCCCCCAGCACGTTCTCCCCAGCACCACACTTGTTGCTGTCTTTCTGGTGACAGCCATCCTAGTGGGTGCTAAGTGGTTTTGATTTCCATTTCCCTGATGACTTATGATGCCCAACCTCTCTCCATTGGCTTGTTGGCAAAATGTGTATTTTCCTTGGCAGCATGTCTATTCAAGTCCTCGGCTCATTTTTCAATTGGGTTATTTGTCTTTTTATTTCTAAATTGTAAGCATTCTTTATATGTTTTAGATACAAGTCCTTCATCAAGTACATGATTTACAAATATTTTATCCTATTCTCTGGCTTTTCTGTTCTTTCCTGGCGGTATCCTTTGAAGTGCAAACATTTTTAATTTTGGTGAAGGTCAGTTTAGTCTTTTTATTTTTCCTTGTCATTTGTACTTTTAGTGTCATATCTAAAAGACCATTGTCTGATCTAAACTTACAAAAATTTACTCTTATGATTGCTTTTAAGAGTTTTATAGTTTGAGCTCTTACAGTTAGGTCTTTGATCTATTCTCCTTTTATATATGTTGTGAGGTAGGGGTCCAATTTTATTCTTTTGCTTGAGATCCAGTTTCTCCCAAAACATTTGTTGAAGAGATTATCCTTTCCCTGTTGAAGTTCTTGGCACTCCTGTTGAAAATTAGATGACCATAGATGTAAGCCCCGGGGGCTCAGCAGTTAAGTGCTGAGCTGCTGACCCAACTGTCGATGGTTCGAAACCACCTAGCAGCTCCACAGGAGAAAGACCTGGCGATCTGCTCCCATAAAGGTGACACCCTAGGAAACCCTTTGGGGCAGTTCTGCTCTTACATGGGGTGGCTGTCATTCAGAATCAGTTCTGCAGTGCCAGCAGCATGGATGTGAGGGTCTCTTCCTGCACTCAGTTCTGCTCTGTTGAAATCTCTGTCTGTCTTTATGCCAAGACCACCACTGTCTTGATTACTGTAGCTTTTGTGATAAGTTTTGTGAGTCCTCCAACTTTCTTCTTCTATTTCAGGATTGTTTTGACTACTCTGGGTTCCTAACTCTTTCCATTTATTTAAGTTTTAAGGTCTTTTAACAATGTGCTTGTAGTTTTTAGAGTATAAGATTTGTACTTCTTTTGTTAAGTTTATTCCAAAGTATTTTACTCTTTTTGATGTCTTCGTAAATGCAATTTTTAAATTTCATTTTTGGATTGTTCATTGCTAGCATATGGAAGCCATGCGGTTGACTTGTGTGTCCCTGAGACCTGACCAGACTGTTTTTGATAGGTGGACCTTAGCACACAAGCAAGGCCACCTGAGCCCCTGTTCCACGTCCAGAAGCTGCTTCTTACAGCCTGTGACACCACCACCTTGCGCTTACTCCCCCAGAATGACCCTGACCTGTTTGAGTCATTATGCTTTATGACGATCCTTCCTGCTGTGGTCAGAGTAGACCCTTGTCTCTCTTTTGAGATGAGTGAATCACCAGAACACAGAAAAAGGGGTCCATGTGGATAGGTAGCTCAGCTGAAAGCAAGTTTCCAAGCCATCCCAGAACTCCAGAGCCTTTATTGTCTGCCTTGAGCTCAGTGTATTTGTCTGGGGAACCCCCATCCTCCTGCAGGCAGACAGGACAAAGGGCCCTGCTCTGGACAGGAACCCCTGCTCCTGCCTCCCAGGCCTCCAGGGCTCTCATTACGAGGTCCAGTGAAGCACTCTGGCACATCTGGAAAGAGAGTTGTCCTCACCGCGTTCTGCAGATGTCTGCTGCAGTGCAGGTCCTTTTCCTGCTCACAGACACATCCTCTGACTGTTGAGCATGCCCAGAAAGGGCGGCAGGTCAGCAGCCCTCATCCTGCAGCTCCCTACATGCTGCAGGCCCGCCAGCTCAGCACAGCGTCAGCGTTTCCATCGCTAATTGTGTTCTAGCCTCTCGACCCAGGCAGGCCAGCAGAGAGCCACTGGCACCTGACTGTCCAGTAGGAAGGACTCCCTGTAAGAGTCACGGTCCTCACAGATGTCACCATCCTCACTTCTGTCCCATACATGCCTCACCCTCTCATTTGCCATTGACAGGTGTGCCCCAGCCCACACTCCCTCTTGCAGCCCCTACCTCCTCCCCAGGCTGCCTGCGGCTGGTGGTTGGACAGGGTTTCCATAGGCTTGTTTGACTTTAGAGATGTTTGCACTGGTTCTCCAGGCCCAAGAACCTCATCTTCTGCACTTTCTCGCCCCCAGCTGAGCCGTCCCACCCCAGGCAGCCCACTCCTCACACTTTGTCTTGTGCTTTCAGAGGAGAAGAGCAGTGGGTTCAGGTTGAAGCCGCCAACACTCATCCATGGCCAGGCGCCCAGCGCAGGTAGGCTGGGCCTCAGAGAAGGGGGACTGGATAGTTTCTTATACCTTCCCAGGCTGCTCTGCGTAGTGTCCAGCCAGCCAGCAGCTCCAAGGGTCCACTCTGGGCTCCACCTGCCTACCAAGTTGTCACTGTTGTCTGATACAGGAGCAGAGAGATCCAGCCAAGCTGACTCCCTGACCAGGGAAGCGAGGGTCCCAGCAGTCTGGTTGTGCAGGAGAAGGGAGGAGGCTAGGCCCAGAGGTTCTGTCCCTAATGCGCCACTGTGCTGGCCTTCCTGACGGAGTGGCTGTGCCCAGTGGCACACTGCTGCTGGTCAATGGGCTGCACTGCTAGAGCCTAGGGGGAGGCCTCTGGGGAGCGGGAAGGGCTCTTTGCGTCATACCCCGGCTGGCAGTTGATGGAGAAGCTTTCTCAACATAATACTTTGAAAAGCATCAGGAGCCTTTATGGGACCTCAGGCCCAGCCCTAAATCCCAGGGAGCACCTGTGGTCTTGCTGCTTTCTGAGCCCAGCAGTAGGAGAACTGTCACCCCTGGCTCTCCCCGAGCAGTAGTTGACTCCCCATATTCCTTCGCAGACATGGTCTGTCACACGTGTCCTCTGTCTAATCACAAATGGAAATAACAGTAGCATGCATCTGTTATGGCTGACTCTAAAGAAAAGATATTAGATTTGAAGTTGAAAACAATGCTTTCCTACAAAGTCCAGCATGGGAGGGTCCCCAGGTGGGCTGCTGGAAGTGGGATTTCTCTCCCGTGCCTGAGGATGGGATTTTGGGTTTCTGTGGGCACCCCCATGGGTCTGAGGCTCCGGGAACTTCTGCCTGCAGGTCTGCCAAGCCAGAAGCCCAAGGAGCAGCAGCGCAGTGTGCTCCGCCCAGCAGTGCTGCAGGCCCCACAGCCCAAGGTGCCATCCCCGACTGGTAAGGAACAGTGCCCAGCAACCTGCCTTAAAGGCACAACATTGGTGGCTTTAGCTGAGTGCCTGCGGTCACGGAGGGAGCTCAGGGAAAGAGCTCTGTAAGCCGTGGCTGAGCTCTCCCTGGTGGGTGGCGCCTGCGTGACTCTGGGCCTCGGTGCACGCTACGCTCCTGTACCGTCTTCACCAGCACCGGGATCCTCCTGTTGTTCAGGATAAGCTTTCTATCTGTCCCCAAGTTTGCAGGCACAAACCCCACCCATCTGTCAGTCATCTGAAGAATGCGAAGGGAAGAGTACCCTGAGGTGGGGTTCCTCCTATTTGCCAAACTCAGGACGCAGCCTCTGAGTGGCATCCCCACGCTGTCAATGCAGGTAGTGGTTTTCAGCTAGTCTTGCATTTGCTAAATGCTGGGTGCTGTCCCTAGAGTGTAACCGTTCTTCGTTGGAAGCAGCTCGCCACCCAGCGTTCATATGTCTGAAGAATTGTGTTTTTGTCTTTTTTTTTTTTTAACTTTATTTTTGTTGTTGTTGTTGAAAAGATGCACAACAAAACATACAGTAATTCAGCAATTTCTGAGGAGGTTTTAACCACATGGAAAAATTTTCTTAATCTCACCCTAAATAGTCAAAGCTAGGTTTAAAATTGTGGGTGTTATATAATCTCAAATATTTAGAAGAATAAAATGCATGAAGTTTTTATTAGTAAAACTAGTTTTTCTTTTTCACACTTTGTTTTCTTAATTAGCAGTATCGCTTTTAAACAAGCTGAAAGTTCCCACTTCTTTTTGGAATAAACAATAAGATATTCTTACTTCTGTGAGGCTTTTTTTTTTTTTCCCCATTAAAGAATTTGTGACTTTACTAGGGATGCTAAGGAGCCCTAATAACACGGTGGTTAAGCACTTAGCCGCTAACAGTATGGTCGGTGATTTGAACCAACCAGGGGCTCTGTGGGAGAAAGACCTGATGATCTGTTCCCATAAAGGTTCCAGAAAACCACACCCACTGCCCTGGAGTCCATTCTGACCACAGCGCCCCTAGAGAACAGAGCAGAACTGCACCAGAGGGTTTCCAAGGCTGTCATCTTTATGGAAACAAAACCCAAACCACACCCACTGCCCTGGAGTCGATTCTGACCCACAGTGTCCCTTAAGGATAGTAGAACCACCCCATAGGGTTTCCAAGGTTGTGATCTTTGTGGAAGCAGTCTGCCTCACCTTTCTCCCATGGAACGTCTGGCAGATTCATACCACTGACCTTTCAGTTAGCAGCTGAGTGCTTTAACCACTGGAAAACCCTGTGAAGCAGTTCTCTGTCCCCAGCGAGTGCTGTGAGGAACCACTTCACCCAACAACAGTTGTGATGCCTGATCCCTCTCTTAAGGAACAGTGGGACTGCTGGGCCAGGTGATGTGCTAAAGCCAGCACCTCTCTCCGTGTGATGCATGGGTCCTAGGGGACAGGTGTTCCTGCTCCCTCATGACTCCCCTGCTGTCTTCTCTCCTACAGTCCCGAGCAGCGGCACCAATGGGGTCAGCATCCCAGCAGACTGCATGGGACCTGTGACGTCCACATCACCCGATAGCCCTGCACGGAGGAGTCCTTTGGAGGCTGCTGATGAGGCGCGAGCACTTGAGGTCTGTCTCCTGGGGAAAGAAGAACACTGTCATCTGCACCCAAGGGTGATGCTTGTCAGGTTCTGTGGGCTGACAGATTGGCACCTGCTCTGGCTGTGTCAGGACTTTCCCAGTTACCGTAACTGACACGTGAATAACTGGAACGCCAAGCTGTCTTTCCCCATTGTCTGCCAGGAGCTCTCGTTCCCAGCTGTCCTTGGATAGTTTTCCTGCTGGCAGACACGTTGACCACTGAGCTTTGGGAAGTGACCAGGGCTGGAGAAAATAGCTTTCCTTGGTGTATGTGGTGACAGTTTACATAAAGAACAGTCCCCTTGTGCTTCCACACTCTTAACAGCCCCTCAGGGATGTATATACATGTGCCCATTTGAGTTGAGAAAGTTTGCCTGGGGAATCAACTCAGAAATAGTTTGTTTTTTGAAAAAATGTCCCTCAGGACCCTGGGATTGTAGCAGCTTGGAGTGCATGTTCCCAGTGGTGTCTTGTGGCAGTGATAAAACAGACCATTTAATGAAGCGCTTGCTTTTGAGGTGGGCAGAGCTGGTTTGAAGGCAGAGTTGGAATAACACGTTGAGTCTTCCATGCACAAAGCCCAGTTGGCTCTGTGGATGTTACTCCACCCACTCCAGGGGACAAGTCTCTGCACGGGCTCCTACAATTGCCATAAATCTGTGAATGTTCAGGCTTGAAAGATGGCATGGTCATTTGCAGTTACATTTTAAACACCCCTGAGCCCCTCTTCAAAGCACAGCTTGTTGGGTTGGCAATATGATCCCTTGCACGGCACACTGCCACTTGGACACTGTGATCTCTGGGTCTTAAGGACAGTTTTTAATTCGAGGGAGACCCAGCAGTGACCCAGCCTGCCCCCCAGCCTCTCCATGTTCCCATCAATCAGTGCACAGGCCCTACACTAGACTGTTTTCTCACTGGGGAGCTCACGCTAGGTCCTGTCATCCTGAGACACCTGCCTGAGCTGCTCCTGACGCTGCTGCAGCCCAGCTGTGGACAGATGTCTTCCCACAGACCACAAGCTCAGACCTTGCCTCCTCATCACCTCTCCTTCGGGTCACACAGCTATGGTAGCTCAAGCTGATCCCCAAGTCAGTGGTCTCTAGCTCCTTCCTTTCATCCCCATCCCCCCACAAGCATCTGTGCCTCCTTAGGTCCCTCCGCCAAGCTCCCTGTGTCCTTAGTGGACCCATGCATGGCCACACCCTCCATCAGCTAGTGGTGCTTCTGCACGTGGGTGGCACTTGCTGGAGTGGGGGCCTCATGACACATCGTCTCCACCAAGCCCCCAGCCACTTTCCTGAGACCCTCTAGGGATCACTACATGTGCCCTCATCATCCTTCCCTGCTGCCTGGTAAAGCATGCCCTACAAACATGCCTGTTGTCCACTGGGGACCAGAACCAAGTGTGAGGTTGCCTTCACTCAGTGGGGCTTGGGGCTTATGTAACACATGGGCAGAGCTTGGGTCATTCCTACAGGGCCAACAGACATCAGCGCTGCTCAGGGAAGTGGACAGAGGCTTCCTGACTGTTCAGTGCTTTGACTGAGGGCCTTGGGATCTGCTTGTGAGTTTAACTGATGCTTTGTAAAAGGTCCTTTGCTTTTATGCTAATGGTGGTAGAATATTTTAGAAAAGGAAAAAAACAAATTCACTGCCATTGAGTTGATTCTGACTCATAGCGACCCCCTTTGTTTCTGAGGCAGTAAATCTTTACAGAAGTAGATTGCCCTATCTCCCTTTCGCAGAGTGGCTGATGGGTTTGAACCGCCACCCTTCCGGTTCATGGTCAAGTGCCTTCGACAGTATGCCCCCAGAAGATGACAATGAAAAAAAAATAATAAAAAGACCCCTCACAGTCCCAGACACACTGCACTGGCTGTGCACAGCCTGCCCACCCCACCTCCCCTCCTGCGGGCTCTGCTGCCTGGCCTTGTGGATCCCGCACTCACAGGGCCAATAGGGAGCAGGCAGCACACAACCCAGAGCCTGAGCCACGAGTCTCCGGAAACCATGCACCCCCACCTGCCGGCAGTGAGGCGGCCCTGAGGACTCCCAGGTCACCGAGCGTGGCATGTTTAATATTAAAAGGCCACGTTTACTCTTGTGCAGACATGAAGCTGCAGCATGAAGTCAGTGGCAGCAGGATTTATGGGCACACAGTGGAGAACACAGAAGCTCTTTGACAGGTGGACTCCAGAGTGTAACTCATACTGAGAGGTGTCAACCTAGGCTGGGATTTTAACTCCAGTCTCGCTGCCAGCTACAAAAGCTGAGTGGAGGCAGAGCCAACACACAGCCTTACTCTTTGGTTCAGATCCTGCCAGATCGTCTCCAGGGGACACTCTGCCTCATGTTTTTTCCACCATACACATCCCTGGAGCATCAGCCCAAAAGCTTTTTTGTTTAATTAACTGGCAGCTTTTATTGTATAAGAAAAGCGTGTAGGAATTACTAACAACTTTGTGTCCAGAGCTGAGTGAATTCATTCTTAAAATGTTTAGTTACAGAAATAGCACCTGAATGTTACAAGCATTGAAATACCACCAAACAAAAAAAATCCAAACCCACTGCCATTGAGTCAGTTACGACTCATAGTGACCCTAGAGGATGGTAGAACTACCCTAGAGGGTTTCCAAGGCAGTAAATCTTATGAAGCAAACCGCCTCATCCTTCTGTGGAGTAGCTGGTGGGTTCAAACTGCTGACCTTTTGATTAACAGTCAAATGCTTTAACCACTAAACCACCAGAGCTCCATAATGCCACAGAAATCTATAAAGTCAACCTTGGAAGCCCCCTGCTCTTAGGTTCAAAGGCCCCTGAGATGACATCTGTTGATAATTTGCTCACTCTGTCTCATGATTCATCTCCCCGGGTGTTTCACAACAAAACAAACACGACTTTAACGATTTCTGCATGTACACTTCAGTTACATTCTTCCAGTTGTAGCACCTTCTGCACAACCTTCCCCAAACTCTCAACCATCATTAACAACCTCACTGCCCACTCAGCTTCTTGTCTGTCCTTTGTAGTTGTTATTGTCAGTTTGTTCACTTGCAAATAATTTTTTGAAAGTATATAGTGCTTCATGTAGATAATTTTTTCTACTTAGGGTAAACAATTATTTGGTTCAAAGATGACTTCAGAGGATAGTTTTGGTTCAGAGTTTAAAGATTTTTTTTCTCAGGGTAATAGTTTCAGGGGGTTTATCTAGCCTCGGTGACTCCAAAAGTCTGGATTCTGTGAGAATTTGGGATTTTGACCTACATTTTCCCCCTTTTGAGCAGGATTTTTCTCTAGAATCCTTGATCTAAATGTTCACTATGGTAGCCTGGTACCTTGAGTTTACTTTTAACAAGGTGGAGCTGTACATGTGTGCTCCACAACTTCCCCCTTGGGTAGTGGGCATTCCTCCTGTCAGAGACAACTGTGTTAGTCTCCTAGATTGTCTGCCCCTCACCTGACATGAGCGGGCCTCTCACCTGTCCTTGGACCTCCTATGAGTGGCTCTGGGCATGGGTTCCCAGAAGTGCTTTACGGGCATGCTGGGTAGTCACAGTCCATTTCTGAGTCAGCTCCACCAGGATGGAAAGACTACTCGTTCGCTGTTTTAAATCAGAAAATAATCTGTGGGAACATCTGTGGAAACCTGGAAGTTTCTCTGGCAGCTCAGTCCCACACAGGACCTGGGTCCTGTTTCGTCTGAGTCTCAGGCAATTGTGCCGTAGAGCCTGTTGGTCCCACCTTCCTGTGCTGGGCAGACACCCCCGTTGTTGCCTCTCCAGGCTGTGCAGTCCCATCCCCCGCTTGTTGATCACCCCCTGCTGAGGGCTGGGTGCCATATGTGGCCCTTGGGACTGGGCAGCTCCACATTTGGACTTGGAGTGTCCACACCCCCAGCAGCAGTACTCCTACTTGTCTAAAGCAAACCCACGAGGGCCCAGCTGCTCCGCCATGGCCTCATCCGAGGAGAGTTGCACAGTTGCCTGGCGGGGAGGGGTCATCCCCAGGCCGGTCTCAGGCTGTCCCTCAGTGCAGGGACCCACCTGCCAAGGAGGAACCCGTCACAACGTGTGGGGTTGCCCTCTTTTTATCTGGTTAGATTTGTCACTTCTGTGTGTGTGTGTGTGTGTGTGCATGTGCGTGTGTCTTAAATAGGAGAAGGACCCCCAGAAGAATGCCCCCAACGACACTCCTGAGGAGGAACACTCTGAGAAAAAAGAAGCTGCACCGCAGACGTTCGTGTTTGGGCAGAACTTGAGGGACAGGGTCAAGGTATGTCGAACGAGCCCTTGCACCGGTGAATTGATTTGCGTCTGCCTTCCCCAGCTCAGCAGTGGAGAGTCCTTTTCTTGAAAAGGAGGTGGCAGTTGGGAAGTAAAGAATGTGTTGTTGGGGTGGTCTCGGCTCACACCATGGACAGCTGCTTACCTGTGATCCTTCCGTTCCCCACTCTGCTGGGCCAGGGGCACTGCAGTGGGGCGGCCTGGCCAGCACTCAGCTGTAGTTGATCTGGGTGCTACCTTCCACCCTCCACTGGGCTTGAGCCTCGTGGTATCTGCTGACGTCAGTCCCTCATCCTGGCGGCAGGGCAGAGAGAGTGGCCATGAGAGCTAATGGCTTTGGAGCAAAGGGTACAGCAGACCCCACACCTCCACACCAGAGAGCTCTTGTTCTGTTTCAAGTTCTCCCCCATGCTAACATGGGGGCTGGATCTTTTTCTGGGGTGGGACCGTCCTGTGCACCGTAGGGTATTGAGCAGCATCCCTGGTCTCTACTCACTCACTGTCAGTATGTCCCCTTCCCCCACTGTAACAATCAAAACTGTCTCCAGACATTGTCAGGTGTCCCTCATGGAGGCAGAATCACTCCTAGCCGAGAACCCTGCCTTTTTTAAGTGGTGGCGGGAAGAGATACTGCCTTCTTTCCCCTAAGTAGCCACCTCCTGGCAGCCCTCCAGGTCTGTGTAGTTGGGAAACTTAGGATTGAGGTGGGAGCAGCTGGCGCAGAGGGGCCACAGCAAGGAGCAAGGGAAAGTGGAGTCAGAAGCAAGACCTTCCCTAGCCACGGGGAGAGCGGGGCCTTCCAGAGGCTTCTCCATAGCATATCGGACCAGACACTCCCCGTGAAGCCTGAGGCAGCCTCAGTGACAATGTCTAGAGACTTCTGGGGTCATGACTAGGGATAGGTGTGCTACTAGCATCAAGTGGGGAGAGGCTAGGGATGCTCCTCCACAGCTTAGAACGCACAGGACAGCCCTGTATCAGCGTGCAAGAGGAGACAGCTGGAGGTGAGACAGCTGGAGGTGAGCAGGTGGAGGTGAGACAGCTGGAGGTGAGCAGGTGGTGCTGCTGGCTGTTCCCCTGCTGCTCATTGCCCAGCGGAAGCCCAAGCCCCCACCAGGCAGGAAAGACGGGCGTTGATGGTGCCATGGCTTGAAGCCACAATAAGTCCCTCAGGGCCTGCTCCTGACCAGGAGGAGAGTGCAAGGTAGAGGACTTACAGCCTACTCAGTTGGGGAAGGGAGGCCTGGCCTGACCGCTGGCACTCAGTCTGGGTGGGGCTTGGTCATGGAGTTAGGAAGCATGGGCACTCAGAACTGGGCAGGGCAAAATTTTACAGAGGTCCCAGGCTTTCCTGGGCTTTGATGTCTGACGATCACATCCCGTTTATTCTGAGGGGACCCTGGACCACCATTGAACCCCTCTGAGCCTGCTCCCTTGTTAATGAGATCAGTTGCTAATACCCACATCCCTGGGGTTCATGGGTGGAATAAGCAGTGGCATTCATAGACTCAGCCCAGTAGTGGGTATTCCTCATTTATTATGTTTATGATAAAACTCTGTGAAATGCCAGCCTTGTAAACATGCTATGTCCCCTCAGCACAGCCACACTGATGCCAGAGTGCCAGCTTGCATATTGCATGTGATACTGTTTTAACAAGATACTTTAGAGACTGTTCTGTACTTTTCACCATTAAAAGCACAAAAGCCCTCTCGGGACACACACACACATGAGCTGTGCCACCCAGGGAGGGTCAGGTGCATGCCCCACGTCCTTCTCTGGGTCCTCAGTGTTCCCTCTGTCTCCCAGTTAATAAACGAGAACACAGACGTGGCTGACGTGGAGCATGCCGGGCACCCCAGCTCAGAGACGCCGACCGCGACAAATTACTTCCTCCAGTACATCAGCTCCAGGTGTGTGTCGGGCTGGTGCTCGACCAGGGGGTGGGCGGTGAGGCTGCTGGCACTTAGTGTGCAGAGGCAACCCCTGGCATGCCTAGGACAGCACCTACCCCAGAGAATCCACAAGTCTTCCACAGAGCATCTTAGGACCCCCAGAGTCCTGCAGAGAGGGGGCATCGTCTACAGCCAGGTGCTTCATGAGGTGCAAGCCAGGGAGGCAAGTGCCACCTCCAGAGGCTCATGGATAGTGGTACCAGGAGCATGTGGGCTGTCCACCCACTTTCTTCCTTCGCTCTGGGCCCAGCACTGGAGGGGCCACAGTGGGCTGCTCTCCTGGACTTTGACGACACCTGCAGCCAGACCTGGAGCTCTGTGTGCTTGTCCAGGGGTGGGGGAAGGACTCGGCCTAGCCCTCCAGTGGCTTCTGTCCAGTGGCACTCCTGTCCAGCACAGAACTGAGTGTACTCATGGCAACTCAGTGGTCTCTTGTTGGCTGTGAGGTTCCGACCTCTGAGCACTCCTTGCCCAGGACTTAGTGTTGGGAGGAGCTCATCCCACTGGCTCGTGTTCACCAGCAGCATGTATGACTCCATGGGGTGCATCAGGAAGAAGGTCTCCATGTTGGTGATCAGGATGTGGGCTGGACATCAGAGAGGCCCAGCAGGACAGTGACCCCACCACTTAGGGCACCGATGAGCAGAATGCAGTTTGTATGACACACGTCTTTTTGTACTTCAACATTTCCAAAATCACGAGGCACTTAGGATCTGTGATGTTGTAAATCAGGTGTGCTGTGCCAGCAAGGGCAGCTGGTGCCAGGCACTGGCCAGACATCAGCTTGGTCGTTTGCCAGCAGCCCTGAGACCTAGGATGCAGCACGTGACACAGGGCTCTCCCAGAGAGGTCCACCCACTGCTGAGGGGCAGAGCTGGCCTTCATTCCAGAAGTGGCCCGCTTCCATTTCTGACCCTGCACTCAGTCTCTCTAAGCTGCTGTCCTCATCTGCCAAGCAAGGGGATGCCTACCTTGGGGGGTGGGGGAAGAATGGATCTCAAAGACGGTCACACCAAGCCTGTGTGCACTGGGTGCCCAGGAGGTGGTCCCTGCCGTTTCCATGCCCCCCGAAGACCAGCCTGGGATCAGCGTTTCCTGCACCAGTGCAGTTGTGGAGGCACGTAGGGGTGAACTGTCTCTGGCCTGACCCAGAGGGTAGCTGACTGATGCCTGGGCCTGTACTTTCTCCAGCAGGCTGCTAGCCGTGGTCCACTCTGACTGCTTGTGTGCACACGTGTGTGTGTGTGTGTGTGTGTGTGCTTTCACATGTACATGTGTCTTTGGCCTTATCCTGTGTAACATCCTCATGCTCACAAGTCATCTTTCAGTTTAGAGAACTCGACCAACAGTGCTGACGCCTCCAGCAACAAATTCGTGTTTGGCCAGAACATGAGCGCCCGCGTCCTGGTGAGTGTCTGAGGTGGGGCTGCTCCTGTAGGACACTCCAGGCCCAGGGGGTGTGTGGAACAGGGCCTCCACGTTGTCTCCACAAAAATGGGATGCTTTCAGGTGTGAGTCAGAGAAGACCCAGCTCAGGCTCAGCTTCAAGAAGAGAGCTGGGGGCCCTGGCAGCCCAAGGGGTGGAAGCCCGTGCACACACATCTGTCTGTCTCTCCCCGGAATCTGCCAGCTAGCATCAGCGTCACCCTAAGGGGCCATGCCAGCAGTCAGGGACTGCTTACCCACCCCTCACCCCTAGTTGAGACGAGCTGAAATACCAACCACTGCAGAAAAATTCTGTAAGTTCTCTGCCACCTCCTCCTGCTGGGATTGCTTGGAACCCAGGAGGATGGCTCTACCCAGCCCCAAGGCTGTGGCCCTGAGAGGGCCAAGCAGGCTGCCAGGCTGTCGCAGGATAAACAGAGGGTGACCCTTCCCCAGCAGGGCTACCTGGCAGATGAACCCGTGCTCAGGGGAGCCTCTGTTCCCTGAGAGTCCGCTCAGCTGGGCTAGGTTCTAGAATTATTCACACATACTCCTTTCACTCTTTTGTTTATCCTGTTCAAATACGTACCCATTGTTTCTGTGGTGACTGTGGCTAAGAAGCTGCTTTTGGCCCTCCTGGTGATTCCCAGCTTGCCTTAGTTTGTATTGAGTCAGGGAGCCTCCTGCTTCTCTTCTCACATCAGCATGCTCCACCTGTGAACTGGAGAATGAAGGGCCATGCTGGAGCCTTCAGGGGTGGTTCTAGGTGCCCCCAGAAAGCAGCAGGAGTGAAGGGCCTGCCGGAGCAGTTACAGGTGTCCCTGGGAGTCAGCAGGAGTGATTCTGTGAAGGCTGAGAGCTCCCTGTGTCGGGACACATCGAGCCAGTGCTTTCTGTGAGGGTTTCTAGCCACAGGGCACTCCAGGGCCACCATGAGGAGGTGGGGCCCAGCTGGCCCTGCACTGAGGGCAGACTGCACCCTCTTTCTCCTGGTTCTTTGGGGCCCTCCATGCAGCTGTGAAGGAGAAGCCACCACAGAAGCTGCACCCAGGCAGGGAGGACCAAGCTGTGTCCTCCGTGGGAGCCTCACTTGCAGCACCTCCGTCCACCACACAAACACCCTTCATGTGCCTCATCTTCCCTGCAGAGCCCGCCAAAGTTCAACGAGGTCAGCTCGGATGTCAACAGGGAAAACCCAACCACCGAGTCTGGGTCTGAGTCCTCTTCCCAGGAGGCCACTCCTGAGAAAGGTACAGTAGAACCTTCCTGTCCCGAGGACAGAGTGCTGGTCAGCCTGGAGGGACATGAGTAGGGCCAGTGAGCTGTTCATGCAGCTACTGGAACAGGGTCTAAAAGCAGCGGTGGTGGAAGAGAAGACAGACGGGAGGTGCTCAGCTTCAAGAGAGCAGGGTCCCGGGTCGCTGTGCAGACTGGTTGAGGGGCTGGCGAGGCGTGGCTGAGGTGGCCATTGCCCCACCACCACCACCACCACCACTGCTGCCATGTGCTCAGAAGTGGCAGGTGAGGGAGGCAGCTACCTGTATTTGAAGATTCTCTCACCATCTGTTCTTCACTCGGTGGGAATGCAGGACAGCGGGAGCCAGAGTTAGCGACACCAGCTAGCCTTCTCACAAATTGTGAGGCCAAGGACCTTGATCTGTTTCCAGCATTTCCGCAAGGGCCCAGGTGTGGCCACGGGCAGCCCCTTTGGTCTCCCGTGAGCTAGAAACTTCCCCATCATAAATAGTCAATGTTGTTTAGCCAATAACCTTTCAGAGTCCCTGGCCGAGTCGGCAGCCGCCTACACCAAGGCAACAGCACGGAAGTGTTTGTTGGAAAAAGTGGAAGTCATCACCGGGGAGGAGGCGGAGAGCAACGTGTTACAGGTGAGGTGGGCCAGGCAGCAAGGCCGGCTACCGCCGGGCCTCCTGGCTTCCAGATGGAGGGCCAGGGCCCAGGGACAGCCAGTGGTGGCCCCCGTTTTTCTGTACATCTGAGGGTCCAGCCCTCAGGGGCTCAACCTTCATCTTCCAGACACAGGGCTGTCCTTCAGGGTGATGGAGGTGACGGGCCAGCCCAGCCACGTTCTCAGGGGTTGCTTGTGATGTTTGTTTTTCTGGAGCAAAAGGATCTGTTTTGAGACGTTGTTGGTAATTGAAGGGATTGTCACCTGTGGCCCCAAATCCTCTGCCTGCCCAGCATGAACACTGGCAGCCTTCAGGCACACAGGCATCTCACCTCGCCTTGGGATAGGGGGTGGGAGGTCACAGATACAGCCAGAACTTCATTCCACTTTCCCCGAGGCCGTCTCAGCTTCCTCTGGGGACATCTTTTTACGTGTGTGTGTGTGTGTGTGTGTGTGTGTGTGTGTAAGCCGTGTATGGATTGTGGGGCTTTGATAGAACTGTTTAAAATCTGTTCGTGTTGAGGTACTGACTTCTCGGAACCTGCTGACCTTCTGTAAAGAACCAGATGGTGAATGCTTATTTTGGGCTTTGTGGCTGCATATGGTCTGTCACATGTTCTTTGTTGTTGTTTTTGGTTTTTTAATAATAGCTTTATTGAGATACAGTTCACATACCATAAAATGTACCCTTGCAGCAGTGTGCAGTTTACTAGTTTCTGATATAGTCACAGAGTTTTGTAACCATCACCACAGTCTAATATTAGAACGTTGTTCTTCTAAGAAGAAACTCCGCTCTCTCAGTCGCGCCCTCTCACTCCCCCAGCCCCTCCATCTGCTTTCCATCTAAGGATCGGCCTGTTCTGGGCGTTTCCCCCCAGTGCGGTCACAGTGGGTCACCTGTTGCATCTGGCTTTGCTCACTGAACAGCATGTTGTCAAGGTTTATCCGTGTCGTGGCACGTGTCAGTCAGTGCTTCAGTTCTTTTGATGCTGGAATAGGATACCACTGTGGGGGTGGACCCCTTCTGTGTAGCCATGTCATCTGTCGACTGACACTAGAGGTGTTTCACTTTTTGGCTGTTAGGAATAATGCTGTGAACGTGGGTAGAAGTTTTTGTATGGACATGTTCTCAGTTCTTTTGGGTTAGACACAAGGAGCACAACTCCTGGGTCATGTAACAGCTTCACGTTTAACCATGTGGGATGCACAGAGCTGACCATTCTCAGCAGCTGCAATGCTTTACATCCCCACCAGCACTACACAAGGGTTCTGGGCCCCCACGTTTTCACCCATACTTGTTACGATCCCTCTTTCTGGTTGTAACCGTCCTGGTGAGTGTCTGCAGTGACTCCGGCCCAGGCCCCTGCTCACCAAGAGGGCCACCTATGTGTTCCAGATCCAGTGTAAGCTGTTTGTCTTCGACAAGGCCTCACAGTCATGGGTGGAGAGAGGCCGGGGGCTGCTCAGACTCAACGACATGGCGTCTGCAGACGACGGCACGTTACAGTCCCGGCTAGGTGAGCAGCCACGGGACCCTGGGAGAGAGCCTGAGGTGTGCACAGAAGGGTGCTCCCCAAAGGCGATGAAGGGGCAGAGTCCCCACTCATCAGACACATGGAGCACCACCACCCACACCCCTCCCCAGGCATCTTGCCACACCCACACCTGGGCCCACCTAACCCTTGGCTCCAGAGGCCAGCCCTCCCACGGCCTTTCTTCTTTCTTTTTAAGCAAGGAAAAGTGCTTAGTTTTTGGTTTTGGTTTTTTTTTTTTTTAATTGTGATTTCGGTAAAAGGTCATGAAGTGTTTTTCCATTCAACAGTTCATACATGCTTTATTCATGTCATGGGTTGCAATCCCCACGATGTAACAGCACTCCTCCCGCCTCCTCCAGGAGGTCACCATTTCCCTTCGTCCCTCTTTCCCATCCTTCCCGCCTTCTGAGCTTCATCCCTGGGCAAATGCTGCCCTTTTGACCTCGTGTGGATGATCATCTAAGGAGTGTGCACCTCCCAGGTGTGACTGCTCACTTCCTAGGCCTGTCCGTTGTTTGGCTCAAAGCTGAGCCACTGGACTGAGCTCAGTTCCAGGCTTGAAGGGTGTCTGAGGGCCATAGTCTTGGGAGTTCCACCAGTCTCTATCTGACCAGTAAGCCTGGTCTTTTTTATGATTTTGAGTTTTGCTCTACATTTTTCTCTCACTCTGTGCAGGACCTCCTGTACTGAGCCTTTCCACGTGGTTGGCGGTTATAGCCAGACACCATCTAATGCTTCTGGTCTCAGGGTCATGTAGGCTGAGGTTCCCATGGTCCATTTATTTGTCCCTTGGACTAATTGTTTCCATGTGTCTTTGATTTTCTTCACTCTTAATTTGCTCTGACAAGGAGGGACCAATTGTTGCATCTTAGATGGCCACTCTCTGGCTTATAAGATCCCAATCGCTGTTCACCGAAGTAGGCTGTAGAACAATGTTTTTGTATACTGTGTTGTGCCAGTTGAGCTCGATGTCCCCTGTAACCATGGTCCTGAGCCCACAGGTCTAGCAACTTGCTCCTTCAAGGTGTTTGGTTGTAGCTGGAAGTTATTATAACTTTACCCCATTAACTCTGTTACATATATGGACATTTGTATAGCACATACAAATGTGTATATAGAAATGTTATCTGCCACACCTGTACATGGTCACGAGTATATTCCCATTTGTCTACCCACACCTGATTGTCTTGCGTGACTCCCTCTGTATCCGTGTGTAGATTAAGGGTTATTACTGAGGATGCAGTATCGTATATGTAAAAATATTTCCCTTGGTTGGCTCTACAGCTCTTGTGTAACTCTGTGTCTTCCTTAGTGTTTTCCTTATCACTTCTCTTGGTACATTGCCTTTCCCTTCACCCAAATCAATGCATGTCTCTTACTTATCTAGTAATTTTTTCTCCCCTCCCATCCCTAGTAACCAACAAAGAAAAATTCCTTCTGTTTGTAAACCTTTCCTTGACTTTTTACAATAGTGGACTTATAAAATGTTTGCCCTTCTGTGATTCACTTTTTTCACTCAGCATAATGTCCTCTGAGTTCATCCCCATTACGAGGTATTCTTCATTACCCTTTAGTGTTGCATTGTGTATACGTACCACAGTTTGTTTATCCTGTCCTCGGTTGATGGGCACTTAGGTGGTTTCTCTCTCTTTGCTGTTGTGAGTAGTGCGGCAATGAACATGGGTGTGCATATGTCTGTTCATGGGCCTGATCTCACTTCTTCAGGATATATTCCTAATAGTTGGATTGCTGGATCCAATGGTATTTCTATTTCCAGCTTTCTCAGGAAACGCCATATTGTTTTCCACAGTGGTTGTAAAATTTTAGAGTCCCACCAGCAGTGCATGATAGTCCCAATCTCCACACCCTCACCAACATTTGTTATTTTCTGTCTTGTTGAACTTGGCTGTTATTGCTGGGGTTTAACTTATTTTCTGATAAAAGTGTTACTTGTCTTATGATAGAAAAAGAAAAAGAAGGAACAAAATGTCAACTATAAAAACCAAAAACCATGCTTGTTGCCATCAAGTCAGTTCTGACTCATAGTGACCATGTAGGGCAGACTAGAACTGCCCTGAAGGTTGTGAAGGCCGTATCTTTACAGAAGCAGACTGCTTCATCTTTTTCCTGCAGAGTGGCTGATGGGATCAAACCGGGAACTTTTGGTCAGCAGCCGAATGCCTTAACCACTGCACTGCTGGAGTTCCTTTGGTGCTGGCATAGTGTTTGTTTATTATGGAGTTAAACCAAAAACCAGACCAGACTCACTGCCATTGAGTCAGTTATGACAGAGCAGACCTTCCCCATAGGGCTTCAAAGGTTGTAAACCTCCCTGGAGGAGACAGCCACATCTTTACAAAGAGAGAAATCTTGGGACCTCTTACAGTCTAGTCCTATTTCTTGGTTCTTTTTTTTTTTTTTTCCTCCCTCCATGAAATGGGTCACTTGCTATTTTGTGAGCATGATTGTCTTTCTAAAGAAAATTTGATGACATAATGAAATTTCCTTTAAAAATATAATTGGTTTTTAAAAACTTCTCTGTTGATGTTTCACTGACAGTTAATATGTTTTAACCATTTCCCTCTTGAGGGACATTGAGTTACTCATTTTTTCACTATTGTAAAGAATCCTCCTGGGGCTGCCTTTATGCACAAGTCTTGTTCCCAGAGGTATTGTCATGAAAAGGCCTGTGTGCATGTGTACACGTGCACAGCCAGTCCCAGTCGCCGTGGAGTCAGCACTGATGCCTGCACAGCCCCCCTCCCATGTGTAAGAGGGGAGTTGAGCTTTATCGGGTGTTTTTTGGAGGGGGAATTTAGGTCAAAGTTTACAGAGCAAATTCATTTCCATACAGCAGTTCATACACATGTTGTTTCATGACACTGACTGCAGTTCCCCACAGTGCAACAGCTCTCTGCCCACTTCCTCCCTATAGTTATCTCTTCCTTGTTCCCTTCTTTTCCTTGCATCCCTGCCCCCTGAGCTATCTCCCTGTGCAGATACTGCCCTTCTGTTCTCCCACAGTTGATCATTCTAAAGAGTATAGGTACCTGATGTAATAAATGTTCATCCTATATGCCTGTCTGTTGTTTGGCTCGAAGCCACGGGAGTGAGTTCAGTTGCAGACCTGAAGGGTAACTAGGAGCCATAGTCTCAGGGGTCTGCCCAGGCTCTATCAGAGCAGCAAACCTGGTTTTTTTTATGATTCTGAGTTTGTTGCACATTGTTCTACCACTCTGTCCAGGATCTCCTGCACTGATCCCTTTCCAAGTGTTTGACAGTAGTAGCTGGGCACTGTCTAGTTCTGGTTTCATGGTCATATAGGCTGAGGTTTGCATGGTCTACCGGTCCCTTGGACTAAGTATTTCCACATGTCTTTGGTTTTCTTCATTCTTCTTTGCTCTGGATGAGGAGAAGACCCATCGTTGCATCTAGATAGCCACTTGCAAGCTTTTAAGACCCCAGTCGGTATCCGCCAAAGTAGGAGGTGGAACAGTGTTTTTGTGTACTGTTATGCCAGTTGAGCTTGATGTTCCCTGCAACGATGGTCCTGAGCTCACAGGTCTAACTCCTTGTTCCATCAGGGTGGCTGATTGTGCCTAAGAAGTTACCATAACTTTGCCCCCTGTTGCTTCTAGTTATGTGGATATTTTCACAGCACATACAAATAAGTATGTAGAAATACGTATGTAGAAGGAACAAAATGTCAACTATAAAAATCAAAAACCAAACTTGTTGCCATCAAGTCAATTCTGACTCATAGTGACCATGTAGGACAGAGTAGAACTGCCCTAAAGGGTTGCCAAGGCTATAACCAGAAGGTTACAGCTAACCAAAAGGCTGGTGGTTCAAACCCACCAGCCACTCCTCATAAGGAAGGTTGGGCAATCTACTTCCGTAGTGATACTGCCTCGGAAACCTAAGAAGGGATCACTATGAGTCAGAGCTGACTCGACAGCAGTGGGTTTGGTTTTTGGTGGCATAGTGCCTAAGGCATTTTATTGCTAACCAGAAGGTTGGCAGTTGAAACCTAGCAGCCACTCCACAGAAGGAAGACTAGACAATCTACTTCTGTGAAGATTTACTGCCTCAGAAGCCCAAAGAGGTCGCTGTGAGTCGGAATCGACTCAATGGCAGTGAGTTTGGTGTTTTCTTTGATTTTGATCCATCTGTTTACCCATAGATTAATGTCTTTTATCACTGATAACACAGTCTTGTGTGTGCAAAAGGATTTATCTTTGTTGTCTGTACCACTTGTGTACCTCTCTGTGTCTTTCTTTTCCTTAGTATTACTGTGTTGGTCCTCCCTCTTGGTAAATTGCCTTTCCCTTCACTCAGATCAGTATTTGGCTCTTACCTGTCTAGCGGTTTTCCCTCCCTCCTCTCCCATCCCTGGTAACAAGCATAAGATTTTCAGGAGCTGATTTATTAGAAGTAAGTAGCCAGGCCTTTCTTCCAAGGAGCCTTTGCATGGACTCCAGCCTCCAGCCTCTTGCTTAGCAGAGAGCACATTAACTGCACCACCCAGGAACTCAGTAACAACTCCCTTGCTGTGTCTGTGTGTGTGTGTGCATGCACACACACACCTGTGTGCCTTAGCTAGTGCTGATGCAACAAACACCATAGGGGGTGGGGTTAACAAACAGAAATACATATATATTCACAGTTTAGGAAGCTGCAAGTCTGGATTCAGGGACTGGCTCTAGGGGAAGACTCCCTCTCTCTGTCTCTCTCTCTCTCCATCCCTCTCTCTCCCTCCCTCCCTCTCTCTCTCTCTCTCTCTCTCTTTTTCTCTCTCTTTCAGCACTGGAGGAAGGTGCTTGTCTGTTTCCTTTCCACTTCCTGGTTCCTTAGAGATCTCCATGTGGCTTAGCATCTCTCTTTGTCTCTGCTTGCTCACTTGCTTGTTTAATCTCTTTTATATCTCAAGACTGATTTAAGACATACATACATTATTCATAGGAGCTGTGGTAGCGTAGTGCCTAAGGCACTTGACTGCTAACCAGAAGGCTGGCAGTTCAAACCCACCAGCCACTCCTTGGAAGGAAGATGAGGCAATCTACTCCTGTAGTGATACTGCCTTGGAAACCCAAGGAGGGGTGGCTGTGAGTGTAGGCACATAACAACAACACTATTCTTGCTTCATTAGCATAACAGACAACCCATTCCCAAGTGGGATTATAGCCCCAGGTGCAGAGATTGGGTTTAAAGCACATATTTTAGGAGAGGAAACAATTCAACTCTGCGTGTGTCTGTGTGTAAAAAACCTGACATATATATGTGCAATATGTGTTTTCTTCCTTTTCTTTTTTCCTCCCAAATTGAAGCCATCTTCCAGCCTTTACAGAACCATCCGTTTCTGGCCCAGTAGTAGCTCACGCTGGTCCACTGAGCAGTGTTCTCACCCAGTGCAGGGCTCAGAAATGCTCCCAAAGTTGGAACAGAGGTGAGGATGGCCCTCGGTTTCTTTAACCTCAAGGGCATCCTCTTGGTTCCCAGCCACGCCTTGTTTATTGCACTTTGCTGATTTGCATTTTGTACAAATTGAATGTCTGTGGCCACCCTGCATCAAGTCCATCGGTGCCCTTTTCCCAACAGCACACTCACTCCATGTCTGTCACATTCTGGTCATTCTTACAGTATTTCAGGCGTTCCATCATGCTACTGTATACTTAATGTAAACTACAGTTCGTGTAAACATAACTTTTATATGCGCTGGGACACCAAAGAATTCTCACAACTCAATTTACTGCGATATCCTATTTGATTGCCCAGAACCGAGCCCATGGTATCTCTGAGGTCTGCTTGTACTTTTCACTGTTTATTATGGAATGTTCAACCCCAGGTGGACACAGAGTAGCACTGTGAGGCCCCTCAGATGACTCCTTGCCCTTCCTCGTCATTGACCTACGGCCTTGCTTCAGCCACTCCCACCCCTACTGACCCTGGGTCTCTTCCCCTCCACTCGTGCAGCTTTGATGCTTCTCACAGCCTCCCCCAAGCTCCCTGGAGCCTCTCAGGGGACACATTGGGCCCACGAGGCCAGGCTCAAGGGAATGGGCGTGAGAGAGCCAGTGGGTCAGAGGCCAGGGCCCCAGCTGGGCAACAGGCTTACACTAACCCTCTCCAGCCTGTCCCAGTAGGGAGATCTGGGCCAGCCAAGAGGCAGGAGGCCACCATCCCCAGGCTCAGGGTGTTGGGCGCAGTGGGGCAAGCAGGCTCCGACCTGCTGGGGACAGGAGCCGGCTCCTATAGGCTGACCATGGAGAGGCTCCTTTGTCTCCCCAGCAGGCTGTCCCCAGTCTGTCACCACAGGAGGAGCTCCGAGAGGCAGGCAGTGCTTCTGTCATCTGTGAGCCCACGGGGAGGACTGTCGGGCATGGACCTGTAGCCATGTTTGTCATAGGAGCATGCATACGTCCCGCCCCCAGCCTCCTAACATCTCCCTCCTGCTCCTATCTGGTCACTTCCTTTCCCAAAAAGAGCCACCATCTTGGCACCTGACTATGGGGACCAGACAGGACCCTCCATCTCTAGCAACCAGTTTGAACTCCCTGGCCTGTGCAGCCCACTCATGACACCGTTGGCCTTCGATAGCTGCGGAGTTGGGGGAGAAGGGCCTCCTACCCACAGTAGGCAGGGTGGGCCGGGGCCAGGGGCCAGCCTCCAGTCTGGGGGGCCCCAAACAGGATGAGGCCTCTGGCTCAGCCGACCAGCAGGGCTGTTGCAGTTGTGGCGGGTGACTTCCTTGTGAGCTGGGCCACACTGCGGGCCACGGGGCTGACAGCGGGCGCCTGGTCCTTGCAGTGATGCGGACCCAGGGCAGCCTGCGGCTGATCCTCAACACCAAGCTGTGGGCGCAGATGCAGATTGACAAGGCCAGTGAGAAGAGCGTGCGCGTCACGGCCACCGACACTGAGGACCAGGGCGTCAAAGTCTTTCTCATCTCGGTGAGCAGACCCCGGGCTGCGGGGTCTCTGGGTCAGAATGTGGAGGGGGAGGCCCTGAGGTGGCTGGGAAAGGTCCAGTCTTGTGGGGAAGGCCGTGGCAGCTCTGGGCCCCCACTGGCTCACAGCCATGGAGGCACAGAGAGGTCCACTGGGAAGAACTGCAAGGGCCAGGGCTGGGGACAAGACGCTGCAGAGGAAGGGGAATGGGCCTTGGTCTGGGACACAGGAGTCTGCCTGTTCGATCCAGACTCAAGTTTCAGAGGTGATACGCTGCCTGCCGCCAGGTGTGACAGGTGTACCCACCTCCCTTGCCATCCGGGAACCCATGAGGGATGGTTGTGGTTAGGCCATGTGTTCAGGGGTCACCTCTGTCCCACATCCTGTGTGGACGAATGATGATCCCATTCTCCGCCTGATGGCCTGGGCTCCATGCAGTCCTCCTAGCCGTAGAGGGGCTCAGGGTCGTAACGCATATGCTGTGGATGGGGTATTTCTGAGCCCTATAACCCAGCATTTTCTGTCCTCATCACAGGTGGGCAAGGGAAGGCCAGGGACGACTAGGGTCCCAGGCAGGGCTCCCAACCCCAGATGGGAGCCTCACAGTCCTCTCCCTCCAGGCCAGCTCCAAGGACACAGGCCAGCTGTATGCGGCCCTGCACCACCGCATCCTGGCCCTGCGCAGCCGGGTGGAGCAGGAGCAGGAGGCCAAGACACCTGCTCCTGAGCCGGGGGTGGCCCCGTCCAACGAGGAGGACGACAGTGACGATGACGATGTCCTGGCTCCCTCAGGGGCCACAGGAGGCGGTGAGCCGGGTGGGCTGGGTGGTGTCTTAGACCTGCCACCTCCCACTGCTGTCAGGCCAGAGTGCCCCAGGTGTGCCTTCAGTGGGGCCAGGCTAGCCGTGGAATTCATCAGGCTCACGTGTGGCTATGACCACATGACCCATGGCCAGTTACTGGCCTTATCCTGAGGCCTAGAGTCCTGGAGCCTTCGTGGGTGGGCCCATGCAGTGAGTCCCACTCTCCCCACAGGTGCCGGTGATGAAGGGGACGGGTCCACGGCCGGGAGCACATAGCAGCCGGGCCGCCGCACACAGGCTGCTGCTTTGTCCATCTGTCCACCCGTCTGCCCGCCTGCCTTCGCCCCTCCCTGCAGCAGCATCGCGGCAGCATCAGGGCGCGGACTTGGAACCACATCCCTATTGGGTCCCCACCACCTGGATCCGCACGTCCCGTCCCAAAGCAGACTCGGGGCTGCCGGTGTGGCCTGGGCCGAGACCTCATCATATTGATGAGCAAAACACAAGGACATTTCTCCTCCCCCTTTGAATTGAAATGGCACAGTAAGACTTGTCACGGCTTCTCACTGGGGCGGGCGCCTCGTCTCTCTCCTCGGGCCGCTGGCCCCTCGCCATAGCCGCCTGCTGAGGTTCCAACACGCAGAGGGCACTGGGGGGCCACAGCCAGGCGCTGGCCTCTCTCCTGAAGTGTAAACACTGGGCCTATCCGACGCTCCGTCACGACTCCACCCGTGTCCCCATTCTCGTTTGGGGTTTCTATTTTGCAGATCTTTTTTTTGTATGGTTTCTTAGATGAAGGAAGATGCCCCCATTCACTGAGCAGCCATCCTCATGCGTTGCCCCCCACACCTCTGTGCAGGGCCAGGGGGCAGCTGGCCTCTCTGGGGAGACCCCACTCGTACCCCACCCAGGTTCTCTCAGGCCAAGTTGGGTGGTGAGAAGTTGGGCCTAGTCCTGGAGAGAACCTGTCTAAAGGGTCACTGGGCCCTGTAGGGAGGGACCCTGCCTGCATGGCACATGGCTCACCCACCATCTGGCACCTGGTGCAACCCTGCTTCTCCTGGTGGCCATTCCCAGCCTGGCGTGTTAACTGGGCTGAGAGGGAAAGAGCCTGGCCTCATGGAACGTGTGGGGGCTGGCCCCAGACAGCAGGTGGTTCCTAGCTAGGACTGCACACCATGCCTTCCCCACCCCCATGGCACGAGCCCTCTGTGCACATCCTAGGAGGCCCAGGGAAGGTCCACCCCCCACAGGCTCTAGAGGACAGTAGACAACATCACCCAACTCCTCCTGCGGGGGCTCTTCCTGGACTGGGCACCCTCCCTCTGATGGGCTCAGGAGCGGCCCCTGCAACCAGCCCAGCCTGGCCAAGCAGCAAGAAGGCTCCAGACGCCCCTTCCATGAGATCCGGTCACTTCTCTGCTTTAAGCCTTAGCCAACTAGTGACAAGTAAAACCAGATAATGCCCACGTGTTTTGGAACATTTATGTAAGATTGTCCTATGAAATGTATTTGGGAACGACATTAAAACTTTTAACTAAAACCCTGGCCTCCTGCATGCCCAAGGGCCTCAAGATGCTACCACTCTGGGCAGAAGACGATTGGCCTCTGTTTCCTGGGGAACTTCATCTCACAGAAGAGCCATCTCCTTCCACTGAGGCCGTACTGTCTGCCTTGCTGGGGCACACAAGGGAGGGTCCGTGGATGTCCCTGGGGCTGTACCCAGGGTGGCACTGGCAGGGCAGAGGGTTTTTTTGCTGATGGGGAGGCAACTCCATGGGGGGAGGGGAGCTCTCTGACCTGGGTCATAAGCCAGAGGCGCATATGGACCCTTTGACCCATTCCCACCTGGCGGTCCTGGAGAACCCAGTGACCTGGGGCAACAATGTGGGTTCCCCTGGATCCCCGCCCCAGCCAAGCCTCGTGGCAAGCTGATGAGTAGTAGCGCAGGTGGGAGGGGCCTTGCGAGGGGTGGGGCAGCTCACAGCCGCCAGGCGCTGGTAACCATGGCTACGAATTCCTCGTCTGTGTCCACAGAGGCGCTGACACCGCTGTAGTAGTCCTGGAACTCTGCCAGCGTGACCTGGGGGCAGACAGGCTGTGAGCGGCTGAGGCCCGGGCCCCCAAGGGGAGAGGGTGGGCGCCAGGAAAAAGTAGCAGGGGCGCGGGTTCCCACCTGCCCGTCCTTCTCGGAGGAGTCGAAGTTGTCCAGGAAGCGGCGGAGCACCTCCTCCTCCGTCCACTGCCCGCTCCGGACCTTGGGGTGCGCGCGGCCGCTGTAAACGCCGCGCAGGTCCTCCACGGTCACCACGCCGTCCCCGCTGCGATCCAGCTTCGCGAAAGCGGCTGCAATGACCGCCTCCCTGGCCTGGGACATGGGGGGCTAGGGGCCAAGAGGGCTGTGACCGGGGGCGGCAACCCCAGCCCCCGCCGCGTGCACGCGGAGCGCTGGGAGGTCACTCCAAGCAGGCGTCCCCAGGTGCCCCCTGTCTCGGCGTTTACACGCCCATCCCAACGGCGCGTGTCACCGCCCTCCGAGCTCGCCCCTCACCCGCAGGGCCCGCAGGAACTCTTCCAGGTCCAACGTCCCGCTGCCGTCACGGTCCCAGCGCCGGCACACGGCCTGCGCCTCGCCCTGGCCTAGAGTTAGCCCGAGCTCGGCCAGGCCGCGCCGGAGCTCCGCCGCGTCCAACGACCGACTTCCATCTCGGTCCAGGCGGCGGAAGAACCTGGAGTAGGGGCACATTGGAGAGTGACCACGAAGGCTGGAGCCAGGCGGGCCAGGGACCGGAAGGGTGAAGGGGACACTCACCTGGCGAGGCCCTGGATGCCCGAGGCCCCGCGGGCCAGGCACTGCGCCCGGAGCTTCTCCACAGTGGCGTCCGCTGCGTCCATGCTGGATGGGAGAGAGGCAGGGTGGGACTCCTGGAAGGAGCTGCTGGGGCCCAGCACTCTCCCTGCTGGCTGCCCCACAGCGGCTCACCTGGCCTTCCACTGTCCCAGGGTTCCGCTCTATGGCCGTTCTGCCCAGCTCCCGCCTGCTTTGACCAACAAAAGCAAAAAAGCAGCGTCCTGCCTGGTAGGCCTGTTGCTAAGGGACAGTGACTCTGGAGGCTGGGAGGGGCCCTGGCTGTAACTCTCCCTGTGCCGGGGACTGTGTGACCCTACACAGAGCCCTCTGGGGCAGGGGCGGGGGCTGCCCTACCCTCCCTCCACCTGCTGCTGATCCATGCCCCGTCCAGAGCCCAGGCTTGGGATAGTGTCAAACAGGTAAGCGAAGCCTCGCTTCCTGGCCACAGGCACCACAGGCACCAGGGGCCTGATGGTCCTGTGTGACCCTGGGCAGGTCTCTTCTCTCTCTGGGCTTCCCTGGCCCCCTTCCCTCTTCACGGGATAGCTCAGCCAGAGCCGAGGCTGCCAGACCTGCTGAGGGAGCCAAGACTTCCTTCCCAGGCTCACATCCAGTGGAATGTTCCGGAACTGCTGAGAACAGTCAGGACACACAGCCAAGTTACACAGACAGCGCAACATCAACTTGAACAAAGCCCTTTTCTTTGTATTTAGGGGCCAAGCTGTCGGTACAGCTTGGTGGTGGTGGTGTTTGCGTTCTCAAACATTACTTACCAGGTCACTAATGATTAGCTGGTAAGCAAGCCAGAGGCCCTGGGGTACCCCAATCCTAACACAAACCAGAGGAACCAAGACCCCTGTCACCAAAGGCCTTCAACTAAGACTGGGCATCAATGCCAATAGAGATGGTTACTCAGACAGGCAAGGTTGAAAATAATGCTGCATTTCCCAGTACTTAAGACGTGGCCCAAGTAAGACATGGAATAAATCCATTCTAAGACATGGAACAAACACATCTTGGAAGAAGTGCAGCCAGAATGCTCTTTAGAAGCAAGAATGGCCAGACTTCGTCTCACCTCCTTTGGTCATGTTATCAGAAGGGACCATTACCTGGAGAAGGATGTCATGTTTGGTAAAGAGGAGGGTCAGTGGAAAAGAGGAAGACCGTCAATGAAATGGACTGACACAGTGGCTGCGAGAGTGGGCAGCCGGCAAGCATAGCTGGCTCAGGCAGAGCAAAGACGGTGAGGCCGGCACGGGACTGGGCAGTTTCATGCTGTTGTACATGGGGTCGCTGTGAGTTGGAGCACCTAACGAGAAAAAATAGCTCTGTTGAGGGACTCGCCACCAGCACAGGACCAGGGGTCCTTGCAGGCTTTTCAATGCCTGGGTTTAACTTGGACACACCACAGATGTGTTCTCGGAAGTTGCCACTTCAGTCAGGAACCATCGACAAGTGACCAGCCACCTGCACTGTGCTTCTCTCCACAGCTGCGTGGTCCCCATACATTGCTGCAAGAATTCTCGTGGCTGTGAGCAGTCCAGATCTTAGAGAGGCAGAGAAATCCTTTGTTGTATTGTCTTACGAGCGTTACGAGCATTGACTGTGTGTGTGTGTGTAACAGAACCACAGTGATCATAGCTGTTTTGGCATCTCCTCATTTTGAGAAGGGTTTAAACAATAACCTCAAAAAATTCCAGGCCCTGGGGACCTGGAAGCTGTTTTTTCACTTCACCTCTCTGAGCTTCAGTTTCCACAGCTGCAAAATGGGGCAATAGCCATAGTTGGGTCCAGAGATACAACGTGTGTGCGCGGAGTGCCTGGCACAAGCTCCTATATTACCCACAGCTCCCAGCCCAGCAGGGCCCTGCCCAGGACCAAAGACAACACAGAGGACCCCCCACAGCAGGAAGAAGGGATGAAGGACCCAGGCCGTGAAATCAATCATCTGCTTTATTCTTGAGCACAGACAGGCCGTGGCCCCTCTTCCCCTCAGAAAAAACAGTGCCCCTCTGCTCATCCAGAAGAGGAAATGGGGAGGTTGTAACTGCACTGAGGGACCACTGTCAGATGCCAGGTAGGCTGGCAGCTCTGTCCGTGGGGTGGGGATGGCCGTTGACCTTTCCGGCTGACGTGAGCCCTGCCGCTCAGTGATACGAATTCCCTGAGTGAGGAGGCCAGGCAAGGGCTGCTGACCAGGCTGTAGGCACTTGGGTGGGGCTGAGGAAGGCACGGGCCTCTCTCTTCTCCCTGGTTTGATAAAAAGGACAGAGCCCTGGGTGTCTCAGGTCTAGGACTGTGTAGAAACGGGTGTGTTCAAAAATAGATTTCTTTCTGGGGAATACAAAAGCTGAAGGAGAATTTTTCAGATGAGCTGGGGGCCATGGCTCCCTTCAGGCCCACAGAGCCACCCTGTCCCCACCAGGGCACCTGATGTGTGCCAGGCCCTGGTGACAAAGCAGAGAACAAGACAGACAACAACCCCGGCCCTCACAGAGCATACACTGATGGGCAAAACAGACCATGGGAAGGAAGATGGCTGCAAATTCAAAAAAAATTAAATAAAATGCATAGGGATGGGGACGTCCGGACAGGGCGGGGGTGGATTTCTTTCAGATAAAGTAGTCAGGAAGGCCTCTCTGAGGAGGTGACATTTGAGCAAAGACCTAGAGATAGCCATCCATGGAGACACACGGGGGATGAATGTTCCAGGCAGAGGGAACAGCCAGTGCAAAGGCCCTGAGGCCAGACATCATCAGGAAAAAGTTAAGGGATGTATTCATGTTTTTCTGGGCAGACCAGCTTGGCAGCCAGCATCTCAGTGGCACCAAGCCTCACTTGAGCCACTCTTCCTTCCAGGCCAAAGGTGGAGGGGAGGACAGAGCTTACAAATAAATATTTAGGATTTAAAAATACATCTTCATATAACCAATGCAAAACTGGGTGAGGCAAGAGGCTCCCACTTCTGGTCTGGATAAAAAGTAAGGAACACTGGCTCTGAGATGGGGCTGCTCAGTAGGCACAAGAATAAGAAAAGGCGAGAAAACGCAAAAAATGTAGAATTTGATACCATCTACCTACACCAGACAGAGAGAGGGAAAATCCACTGCCCGTAAGTCCATTCCGACTCACAGTGCCCGTAACAGCCAGAGTAGAACTGCCCCATAGGCTTCCAAGGCAGTAAATCTTCATGGCTGCAGACTGCCTCCTCATTCACCTCCTGAGTGGGAGCTTCGAAGGTTGGCAGCTAAGCACTTTAACCACTGTGCCGCCAGGGCTCCTTCCAGAGAGAGGGGTCTCAAGCTCAGCTATTTCAGGGGCCAGAGAGATAAACCTAAGAGAGGCAAGGGGGCCAACTGAAACTCACACCCAGCTACAGAAGGCATCCTTGGCTCCGAGCCCAGGCATGCCTGGCCAAGTCTGAAGGTAGAAATCTGGATTTTTGTGTAAACACTGCCAATTTTCAACGAGGGTGATTGATTCAAGTTCTTAAAACCTCTCTCAGGGCTAAACATCTGTATTTGGCCTACGGGCTGCCAGTTTGAGACCTCTCGCTTGTTAGCTGGTTCCAATGCATGGACAGGATTAAGGCTCTGCCGTGGGGTGCCCTCTGGAACACTGATGACCCCCAAGGACACCCACAGCAGTAGAAGTCCTCAAAGGGGCCCCTATGTGTCCATTCTGGAATCTGTGCTCTGGGGCTCACACCGTGGTCCCTAACACAGTTGGCAGCAGGTGGTCCCTGCCGCTTTCCTCCCCAGTGCTATTGGCAAGTGGCGGACCAGGCCCACCGGGGTCACTGGCTGGCAGGGGCCCCAGGCGCTCAGCCTCTGCCAGGGTTGCCAGCAGCCTGGCCAGGGGCAGCCGGTGATGGCAGATGTCCCGCAGCAGCTCGGCCCGGGGCAGCAGCTGCCCTATGAGGTCGTCCCTCTGGTGCACGGCAGCCTGCAGGCTGTGGACAGCGGCCTCGGAGGTCAGCAGCTGTTCCCGGAGAGAGGCGATCTCGCTGTTGGGCAGCAAGACAGGGTGATTATAGCACCGAGAGATGAGGGCTCTACTCCCCGCTGCTCCCGGGGCTCCCCACCACCGGGGGGTAAGGTCCCTGCTCCTCACCACGGCCTCTGTTACGTCTTTAGGTGCCTCTGACTTGATTTTCAACACCTGGCGACCCCATGTGACCCACAGGGTTTCCTAGGCTGGAATCTTTATGGAAAGATAGATTTTGGTGGTTAAAGTATCCAGCTGCTTGCTTATCAAAAGGTTGGCGGTTTGAACCCACCAGCTGCTCTGTGGGAGAAAGATGAGGCAGTCTGCTTCTATGAAGATTACAGCCTGGGAAACCCTATGGGGCAGTTCTACTCTGTCATATGGGGTTGCCTTGGGTCAGAATCGATTGGAAATTACCCAAGAATAATAATGGGCAGCTAGGGGTGGAAGGGGAGGAGGCAAGTGCCCAAACAGTGGAGAGGTGCTGAGGGCCAGCTGGGAAATGATGCAGTCAGAGCTAGCTGGGTTCAGTCATTCATTTTTCCTGAGCACCAACAGGGCCCTGCCCTCAGGGACTGCACCCAACCTCTGGGGTAGCACCGAGGGCTTAACCGGTGCACGAGCAGGGCTCCAGAGGGTTCCTCAGAACTGCTGGCATGGATTGTGTTTGCAGCTGCCACCACACCCCCATCCTTCTCTAATGCCAGCACCACCTATAGCTTGTGGGGCTCCAGCCCAAGGAGAAGGGGGTGAGCGAGGAGGCCGCTCTACTGTGGCTCATACAAAGCCAACTGCCCACAAACCAGCCGGTGGTAAAGCACCTGGGAAGCAACTGGCTACAAAAGCCACTTGCAAGAGTGCGCCCTCTACTGGAGGGTGAAGAAACCTCATGGTTCCAGGCCTGGTCCTGTGGCGCTCTGTGAAACTGGATGTTATCAGAAGGCCACTGGACTTCTGATTCACAAACGTCCCTTCCAGCGTCTAGTGCAAGAAATTGCTCAGGACTTCAAAACAGATCTGTGGTTCCAGAGCGCAGCCATTGGTGCTTTGCAGGAGGCAAGAGAGGCCTCTCTGGTTGACCTTTTTGAACTCATCAACCTGTGTGCTATCCATGCCAAATGGAACAGTTATGCCAAAGACATCCAGAGAGCACGCTGCACACATGGAGAATGTGCTTAAGAACCCACCATGATGGAAAACGTTTCATTCTTTAAAAAAAAAAAAATCCCTTCTTCCTGTTGTTATTGGCAGTTCTGAACGTTAGGTATTTTTTTCCCATGGGGTCAAAAGGTACCTAAGTGTATGGTTGCGAATGGAAAAATAAGGAACAGAAATCAGGTATCGGCAGTTTTTCCATTTTCAATTTTGTGTGAATTGTTAATATATATGTGGGGACATAAAGCATTAATGCAAGTCAAAATGTGTCTGACCAGGTTTCAGCGGTTCAGCTTTATAACAATTACAAATAAATCTGTTAAATTTTTCTTGGTTGGGGGGGACCTGCTGGTATGAACCGGCTCCCCCCGCCCCCAAGAACCTGCGTAGGAGGTCCCTTAGCTACTTAGCCTCAGCCGACTTTGCCATGGGGGAAAATGGACCCTGTTTTAAGTCAGAAATCCACACAGTGACATCTCTGAACTTCACATACTGATGACTAACTCAAGATTTTTGGGGTTTGGGGCTTTTTCGGCAATCCCACTTGAATGCACGCAGTTTCCCCCTGCCGTTCCTGCCTTTCCAAGGCTGGCTCCGACACCCTGCCCCCGCCTCCGGGAAGTCGTCCTGGCCGGCCCCGGGTCTCACCGGTCCTTGGCGCGGCCAAGCTCGTCCAGGGCGGCACGCAGCTGCCGGTCGTGGCAGGCCAGGCGCTCTGCCTGGGCGCGCACCGTGCGCTCCGCTGCGTCCAGCCGTGCCTCCAGCTCCGCCGCGCGCCGGTGCACGGCGGCCAAATGTGCGTTGGCCTCGCGGATCTGTAGGGCGGGCGGCGCAGACATGGCCCCGGCCGCTGTCCAGGCCCGGCCACGCCCACGGGAGGGCCACGCCCCTCGACACTTGCTCGGGATCTCAGTGCGATTGGCTGCCGTCCCCTAAGGCCCCGCCCCCAGGATTGGCCGCGCCCTACTCAAACCCGAACAGCCACACAAGTTCCGGCACCTTGAAACTCCGCCCCGAGCGCAGCCTAACTCCAGGATTGGCCAAGGTCTTGACAGCCCACGACCCCACGCTGGCCACATTGCCCCAGCTCAGGCTCTGGCACTGAGATTGGTCACGCCTTCAAGACAGACACCTCCTTACTCAGAAATTAACACCAGGATTCGTCCGGACCCCACTGAATAACAAGTGTGACCACGCCCCTGGCAGGTCTCAGCTCCGATGCAAGAGTAGTGATTGGTCATGTCTCTATTTGGGCGGTCCCAGGCACGGCCACGCCCACGGGTACTAACAAATCTGTCCTGGAGGAAATGCACCCGAAATGCTCCTTGGAAGCGAGAATGGCCAGACTTCATCTCATCTACTTTGGTCATGTTGTCAGAAGGGACCATTCCCTGGAGAAGGATGTCATTCTTGGTAGGGTGGAGGGTCCACGAAAGAGGGGAAGGCCTTCAACGAGATGGATTGACGCAGTGGCTGCGATGATGGGCTCAAGTATAGCAGGGATAATGGAGCTGGCGAGGGATCGGGCAGTGTTTCGTTTTGCTGTGCATGGGGTCGCTGTGAGTCAAAACGACTCCACGGCACTTAACAACAACAACAGGCGCGGCCACGCCCATTAGGCAAGCGTTTATCTGTGCATGGTAAAATCCTCGGTTCTGACTATGACTCCAAGCAGTACTCATACTTCATCAGGGTTTGGACCTAGACAAGCCATAGGTTGGACTCAGGACACGTCCTGCTAAATTCCTAGCACCGGGATTGGTAACTTTTCCCTTAGCACCGCCTTTGAGCCTGGCCCTGCCCCAAAATAGTCGCTTGTGGTTCAGACTGGCCACAGGGCGTGACCAGGCCCACACACGGATACTGGCTCTACAGGTGGCCATATTCCAGCCAGGCCTCATCCGGTAATTAATAACGTGTTTCTCAAATGTCAAGTGGGAGGGATATCATTGCTGCTGTTAGATAGATCCACTATGTAAAGGCATTTGACTGTGTGGATCTTAACCAATTGTGGATAGCATTGCAAAGGATGGTGTCTTAGCCTGGGTTCTCTAGAGAAGCAAAACCAGTAAAATAAACAAATACACACACACACACACACACACATATATATATATAATAAATTTATCTTAGGAAAATAGCTCACACAGTTACAGAGGCTGGCAAGTCCCAAGTTCCTGGATCAAACCTCAAGCTGGAGGCTTTTCCCGGACTCACACAGCTGCAGGGTCTGCTGAGCTCAAGGTCAGCAGGCAGTATAACAGCTCTTCACTTCATCAGATGCCGAAACCAAGATTAACATGCAAAATGGTAGGTTGTTGGTTCACAGGACAGTGTAGGCAGTACAACAGGATCCAGATCTACAGAGGGGTCCTGAATTTTCCCAGGACGTCCATTTATATACTGGAAGGAGGCCACAGCCCTAAGGAAACTCCCTTTCAACTGACTGGCTCCTCAAAGCATATACAGTAGCTCTCACCATGGGCATAAGAACACCACAATTGCTTCAACCACTCAGATTGGTCCAGCCAAATTGACACACAACGTTTATCACAAATGGGAACCAGAACACTTAATTGTGCTCATGAGAAACCTGTACCTAGACCAGGACACTGTTGTTCAAACAGAAGAAGGAGATACTGCACAGTTGAAAAATCAGGAAGGGAATCCGTCAGGGTTGTATCCTTTCACCATATTTACTCAAACTGTATGCTTAGCAAATAATCTGAGAAACTGGGCTATTTGAGGAAGAATGTGGCATCAGGATTGGAGGAAGACTCATTAACAACCTATGATATGAAGCTGACACAACCTTGCTGGCTGAAAGTGAAGATGACTTGAAGCATTTACTGATGAAGATCAAAGACTACAGCCTTCAGTATGGATTACACCTCAACATAAAACAAAAATCCTCACAGCTGGACCAATAAGCAACATCACGATAAACAAAAGATATTGAAGTTGTCCAAGGATTTCATTTTACTTGGATCACAATCAACACCCATGGAAGCAGCGCTCAAGAAACCAAATGATGCCCCCCAAAATGTTTTGAAAGCTGAACCCATATCCCTGTGCATGTCATCTCACTTAGAAAATAAATTCCGTTCTTAAAGGCAGAAAAAGAAAAAAAGAAATCAAACAATAGATTGTACTGGGCACATCTGCTTCAAAAAACCTCTTTCAACTGTTAAAAAGCAAAGATGGCACTTTGAGGACTAAGGTGTGTCTGACCCAAGCCATGGTCTTTTCAAACACCTCACATGCATGTGAAAGCTGGGCAGTGACTAAGGAAGGCAGAAGAATTGATGCCTTTGAGTTATGGTGTTGGCGAAGAATATTGACTATCCCATGGACTGCCAGAAGAACGAACAAATCGGTCTTGGAAGAAGTACAGCCTGAATTCTCCTTAGAAGGGACGATGTGAGACTTTGTCTTATGTACTGAGGTCATGTTGTCAGGAGGGACCAATCCTTGGAGAAGGACAGCAGGTTTGGTAAAGTGGAGGATCAGCGAGAAAGAGGAACTGCCACAGCGGCTGCAGCAATGGGCTCAAACATAGCAATGACTGTGAGGATAGAGCAGGACCCAGCAGGGTTCGGTTCTGTTGTCCTCGGGGGTCGCTATGAATTGGAACCGACTGGACCGCATCTAACAACAACAAACCTATCAAACGGAGCCCCACCTCCAGCAGTCAAACCTTTCTTAGCCAAGCACCCTCCCTGAGCTGGGGGCCAGCGAGCTCCTTCGGCCTCAGTTTCCCACTCCTGGAAATCTGCGGGAAGTGCCTTCGCTCGTCCGCGCGGTGGTGTCCGTGTCCGCGGCGCTCAATAAAGTTTTGCGTTTGTTGTTGGCGCGCGTTGCTCCGGAAGTCTCGCGCGAGTAAACGAGCTCTACCCTTGGGCTCGCAGAGCCGGCCGGGGCTGGGGTGAGATCGGGGTCTGCAGACATGGCGCGGCTTTTGCTTCAGCGGTACTGGGACATCCCTGAGGGCACCGAGTGCCACCGCAAAGCTTACGCCAGCACCAGTATCGGCGGCACCACTGGTGAGCGCCCTCCGGGCCCAGAGGGCGGAGGGCGCAGCGAGGTCATAGGATCACTCCGGGGCGGTCGAAAGAGCTATGAGGGGCTGGGTCTCGCGGGTGACACATGGTCGTCATCAGGGTGTCTGTGGCGGCCGTGCGACACTCGAGAGCTCTGTGTGAGGTACCCGTTGGGGGGCTAGTCCGGCGGGATCGGAGGGCGCTGAGAGGCAATGGTGCATGTCACAAGCTGGCCACTATATTCGACGGAGGAAGGGCGGTCCCTGGACGCTGGGATTTTGGGGGAGGCGCGAAGGGGGCAGTGGTGAAGCGACCACCAGGTTAGTTTTGGAGTCAGAGGAACTGGGGAGTTATGAGGCTTTCCAATAAGGTGTCTGAGTTGGAGTTATGGGTCATTATTGCGGTATCTGCATGGAGTATAGAAATTAAGGGAAGTTTTGGGGTGGGATGAGGTCTTTTTAGGGTCATGGGATGTTGGATGGTCAGGGACATCAGAAAGTTTAACTGGGGCCACCGGATTGGCCCTAGAGATCATGAGGGAGGTGGGTCCAAGGCCCACTATACTGTAGTGGCAGCCTGGGGAGGGGGCATGAGGAGACCCAGAAAAAACTAAACCCATTGCGGTCAAGTGGATTCCAACTCACGGTGACCCCATGTGTGCAGAGTAGAACTGCTTCATAGGGTTTTCCAGTGTTTGAGCTTTGTGGAAGCAAAGCCACACCTTTCTTCCTGGTGCCTCTGGGTGGCTGGGAACCGCCTCCTTTTCCATTAGCGATCAAGTACAAACAGTTTGGGCCAGCCAGGACCTATGGGAGGGACCACAGCTCTAGAATTCCCACGCAGGGGAAGCCCCAGGGTCTCTGTCCTCCTAGTCCCCAGCCGTCTCACTGGTATGTTGTTGTTCGGTGCCGTCGAGTTGGTTCCAACTCAGTGACCACACGTACAACAGAACCAGACCTGCCAGGTCCTGTGCCGTCCTCGCAGTCATTGCCACATTTGAGCCCATCTTTGCAGCACTGTGTCAGTTCATCTCGTTGAGGGTCTGCCCCTTTTTTGCCGACCCTCTGCTTTACCAAGCATGATGTCCTCCGATGACTGGTCCCTCCTGATAACATGTCCAAAGTATAAAACCAAAACCAAACTCACTGCTGTCCAGTCGAACCCGACCCATAGGGACCCCTCCTTGGGCTGCTGAGGCAGTATCACTACGGAAGTAGATTGCCCAGTCTTCCTTCCAAGGAGTGCTGGTGGGTTTGAACCCCCAGTTCTGGTTAGCAGTCAAATCCTCGCTTCTAAGGAGCATTCGGGCTGTACTTCGAAGACAGATTTGTTCATTCTTCTGGTAGTCCACAGTATATTCAATATTCTTCACCAACACCATAATTCAAAGGCATCGATTCTTCTTCAGTCTTCCTTATTCACTGTCCAGCTTTCACATGCATATGAAGTGATTGCAGAGACCATGCCTTGGGTCAGGTGCTCCTTAGTCCTCAAAGTGCCATCTTTGCTTTTTAACAATTGAAAGAGGTCTTTTGCAGCAGATTTGCCCAGTGCAATACGATGTCTGATTTCTTGACTGCTGCTTCCATGGGCATTCAGTGTGGATCCAAGTAAAATGAGATCCTTGACGACTTCATTATTTTCTCCATTTATCATGAGGTTGCTTTTGGTCCAGTTGTGAGGAGACCACGTGGACTCCTTTGTCTCAGGCTCCCTGAGAAGTGGAAATGATGGCTTGGCCCTCTCTGCAGCTCCAGCTCCTGACAGAGGTTGTCTTCCCTGGGAGGCACTGGATTAGGGAGACCTAGTCATTGCCAGAACGCTTAGGGGTGCCAATGGTCATCACGCTCAGCTGGTAACTGAAATGCTGGAGATTCAAGTGCAGCTGGAGGTGCATTTGAAGAAAGGCCTGGTGATCTCCTTCCAGAAATTCTGTGATCAAATACCTGTAGTTCTACTCTGACACACATGGGGTGGCCGTGAGTTGGGATGACTTGACGACAACATTTTTTTTCCCCTCATTGCCACCATTATCTGGCCCGCACTGCTCCAGAAGTCTTGCGCGAGTAAGCGAGGTCTACCTGTGGGTTCCTGGAGCCAACTGGGGCTGGGGTGTGATCCTGGGGTCTGCGGACATGGTGAGGTTTTTGCTTTAACGGTACTGGGACATCCCTGAGGGCACTGAGTGCCACCCAAAGCCTATGCCAGCAGTATTATCGGTGGCATCACTGGTGAGCGCCCTCCCAGCTCAAAGGGCAGAGGGTGCAGTGAGGTCATAGGATCACTCCGGGGCGATTATTATCCCCATTTCTCAGAGGTGAACACTGAGTGGGGAAGGGGTATATTAGCTTCCCCAGAGTCGTTTAGAATGTAGATGCACGTGTGCATTGTAAGCGTGTGCATGATTGTGTGAACGTGCATGTCTGTGTAAGTGCATGCACGTGTGCATGTATACACGTGTGTAAATGTGTCCCTGAATGTGTGTGTGCATGTGAGTTATATGTATGTATCTATGAGAGTGCGTGTGTACATGTGTGTATGTATGAGTGCATGTGTGCATCTGTAAGTGTACATGAGTGTGTGTGTTCGTGTGCACGCATATATGTGAGTGTGCATGTATGTGCACGCATGCTCGCATGCACACACCATGGTGGTGGTGGACTGGAGTGTCAGGGAACCCATGGAGACTGAGCTGGTCTTGGGGAAGGGAGAGGGTAGCTGCTGAATGAGGAGCCTCGGGGGTGAGGAGCTGGTCACGGGGCTCTTGGGATGTGCTGCTAGGAGGGCCTTGCTGAACCTGGGGGCTCTTGGAGAGGATGGAGGTGCCAGCCTGGGAGTCAGGACGAGGTAGCAACCGCTGATGTCTGCAGGGCTCCGAGGGCTCCCTGTGTGCCTGTTGCTCTCCTTGCTGTTCCCTCCCTGCCAGCTTTGCTCAGCCTTCAGAACTTAGGTCAGCTGCTTCAGCAGCACCCCTTCCCTCTCCCCATCACCCCCTCCCTCCCCCAACTCCTCAACCCAGAGAAGTTCCCTCAGTGCCTGGCTTCTCTGCAGGCCTTGAGCAGAGCCCACACCTCCCCTGCACTCTGACTGAATGGAAGGTGGCGAGTACCTGGTCTGCATGCTGGGTCTGGAGGGAGCCAGCCGGAGGGGGAGGGGCCTTTAGAAGGATGAGGGGCAGTGGAAGGATCTGGAACAGTGCAAATCCTCGTGCACCTGAAGTCATGGTCTGTCGGGGGTTCCTGGAGCGGTGGGTGTGGCGGGTCACCATCTGGGATGACTGCTGGGGAGAGCTGGTCATCAGGACAGTCACGGGGCTCTTGGGTCATATGCTTCTGGTTCAAGGACGTCTAGGGTGGACCCAGGCCAGTGGGGGCACTGGCTGTGTCAGGTGTGGTCCGTGAGCTGAGAGCCCTGAGCAGGACCACTGGCATTGGAGGGTTGGGCATTGAGGTTACCCCCAGGGGTTACTCTGGGTTTGGGGTTCTGCTTCCTCAGATCAGGGCCTCTCGGGGTAAGTCTTTACAGGCTGCTCTCTGTGTGTCTGTGTCTGTCGGTGGCAGTAGTTTGAGGAGGGGGCTTGCCAGGCTGGGCACAGGCACTGTGGACTGGAGGGGCCCTAGACCATACCTGGGGGCCCTCACTGGCTCCTTTGTCACCTGGAGGGCCAGCCCCACCCCACCCCTCCCCAGCCAGGGACCTGGGCAGGTCTCCACCCCTCCCTGAGGCTGAGCAGGGACATCAGGGCTGTGAGATCAGGAGAAATAAGGTCTAAAAGTTCATGCGTCTGTTTTCCTTCATCCCTGGGCCTCAGTTTCCCCAGCTGCACAATGGGGGGGGTGTGACAGACTTGCTCTGGAGGTTAATGGCACTGCAGGGTGGCACAGTTCCCCCACAGTGACTCATACAGGGGAGACTGAACCCGGGCTGGGCCAGGAGGAGTCATGTGGGGGCCTTGAATCGGGACTGCGGTGGAGTAAGGGCTGGGGTCAGAGCTTCCTGTTTAGTCCGGCCTTGCTGGGTGATCCCAGACAAGTCTCTGGTTCCCTCCCCTCCTGTGAAGGGATGGTTAATGGATGTCAGTCAGACTCTTGGGGCGATGAGCAGACGGGGCTGCCCTTGGTGCCCAGGAGCAGGTGCCAGTTCTGGGTTTGATGTGACAGGCTGGCCTAGGGAGGTCCCTAGTGGCCAGTGGGTGTTGGGGGACCAGTGGGAGAGGAAGGGGCATGATCTGCCCTGCACCTGGCCACCTAGAGGTCGGGGCCGTGGGGGGTAAAGCTGGGGGCACATGGCCAGTTCGCTGTGGGTGGCCCTGAGCACCAGCCCTCCCGCACCCAGCCCAGGCCTCAGGACAGCAGGGGTGGAAAGCCTGGCCTGGGGCCGGGGCGTGGGTGGCCATGCTGTCCAGGTGTGAGGATGCCAGCTAAGCTGGGCGTGGGGGCGGCTGAGGTCCAGGAGGCACTGGCAGCCCTGAGCAGAGCTGAGGAGGGCCCAGGCTCTGCCAAGGAGGATTAGGCTTGGAGCCCCGGGCGACACAGCAGAATGGGGCCTTTGATGGGTGCTAGGAGCTGGGCTCGGCTGGCAGGGCCCGTGGAGGAGGATGCTGCTGTGGCTGTGTGGGAGCCAGGGCGGGTACCCGCCATGTCCTGGTTCTCTGGTGTCTGACGCACAGACAGTGGACAGCTTGGGGCACCACAGCCCCCTTTCTGCTCAGTCAGTACCCTGCTGAAGGCCAGCGCGAGCTGGGCACCTGCAAGTTAGGGACACGGGGCCAGGAGGGAATGCTGTGGGAGCTGGGATTGGTCAAGCCCCAAGACAGCAGCGGTGTGACAAGGGGAGACACAGGGCGCTGGCGGGGAGGGCTCAGCCTTTGGCATCAGCAGTCGTGGGTTCAAGTCCTGGGTTCAAAGAGCCTGGGCCAGTACTTCACATCTGAGGACCCCCTCCCTTTTGGGCAGTGGCTGATTTGAGGAAAGGTGCTGCCTGGCTGCCGGGCACAAAAATGGGGGACCCAACAGGTTACCTGGGTGGGTGCCCCCCTAGCCCAGCCCCCTCCTTGGCATGGAGGCAGGTGTTTGAGCCCCCTCCTCTCATTTCTAGGCCTGGTGGCCTCCGCCTACAGCCTCGCGCTCAACCCCCCGGACTCCTTCTTCGAAGGGGTGGCGAGAGCAGGACGGTACACGTTCACCGCAGGTGAGTGAGCCCCCACCCCGTGACCCGTGGAGTGGGGAGGTTGGGAGGGGCTACCTGGCATCGGCCTGGTCTCTCTGCTCTGCCCTGGCCCCATGTTACTTCTGGCTCTTAGGGCACATCTGAGACCACCCTTGTCCCCTTGGCTCCTGGCTGGGGTCCGTGGTCTGAGCCACTGGTGGGGGTGCAGGGCAGATGTGGGGGTCCCAGGAGATCAGCTCTGGGATGGGCAGGCTGCATCTGCAAGGGCCTGACCAGAAGCTACTCCTTGTGTGGTAGCCTTGCCCCAGAGAGGCGCCCCTTCTCCCCCAGCCCGCACCGTGGCCCCTGACATGGTGCCCACCCTCACCTGTCTGCCCCAACAGCTGCCATTGGTGCTATGTTCGGCCTCACCTCCTGCGTCAGTGCCCAGATCCGGGAGAAGCCTGATGACCCCCTGAACTACTTCATCGGAGGCTGTGCGGGAGGCCTGACCCTGGGGGCACGTAGTGAGTAGACCCCTCCATCCCCCACCCCCATTCCACCTCCTTAAACCCCAAGGCCACGGGACCCTCCCCCAGCAGAGGGGCCGTCACCACACAAGGCCTGTGTTTCTTCAGTGTGTGTGAATATTCGTTTTTATGGGGAGCCAGGCTGGGTTGGGGAACGGTTCACGTTGGGTTCACTGCCAGGGAACGTCCGTCCTAGTCCTCCTGGGGTGATTTTTTGAATTTTTTTCTGGTTGGAACTACTGCTCTTGCTGCTAGCAGCTTCTGCAGGTTGGTGCTGTCCCCTAACCTTGGCTAAACCTGTTGTGTACCTGCCTCTAACCCACCATGCTGCGTCCTCACACCCACGGAGGCACCACCTGCAGTCAGTGCCCTGACCCACCCCTCCCATCTCTCCCTGTTCCTCCAACTCACCAGGCCCGGTCCCTGCCTCAGGGACTTTGAATGTGCTGTGCCTTCTGCCTAGAGCACCCTGCCCCCATCCCCAAACACCCCCCCACACCACCACCACCACTCTCAACTCAGACCATCTGCCCTGTCTTTCACACCCTATCAGAGAACAGGACCTGTACTGCCTGGCCCTCCCCAAGTCTGCAGGGACCCCCACTTGTCAGGTGCAGGGACACGGCATAGAGAGGTCTCTTGGCACAGGGCCATCCTGTTTGCCTTCCCCTCGAAGTGGCCCTGGGCTTAGGCCGTCCCTAGTCAGTGCCCACATACACCCCCAGCCCCTGGCCTGCCAAGACTCGTGCCTCTAAGCCCCTAGTCCCCTGGGACACATGGAGCTGGCAGGTCTGTGCCAGTGGATGGAAGGACAGGCCTGTGTTGGGATGCCAATGGAATGTTTCAGCTGGGCAGAGGGAGGGGCCATGGAGGGAGGCTCTCACCCTCACCACCTTTCCTGGGACCCAGGACTCGCCCCTGCCTCTCCCAGGGCTTGCCATCCATCCCCCACCAAGGCTGGGGCACAGTTGGCCCTGGTCTGTGGAGGGGGGGGACACCCAGCCCTGCTCTGGCTCCCGGGGAGGTCTTGGCCAGGCCTGCCCTTGCCCTGGCCTGCCTCAAGTCCTCCTTTGAGTCCCCACCCAGAGCAGCAGACCCTCCCACCTCAGTACAGGGAGGACTCCACCAGTAGCTGCTGGCTGGACACACCTCTGTTCTCATCCTGTGTCCTTGTCCGGCCCCTGGAGCTCTGGGACAGGAAGCTTTTGGGATACCGCGGCAGGGAGGAGGCCCAGATGCCCACAGAGGTGCCTGGGCTCAGCCCAGTAGCCTCAGGGCAGGGGTGTCTGGCTGTCCTCTTGAGGGTCGGCGGTGGGGGATCTGCCAGTCACATCCCTGCTGCAGTGGGACCCAGGCAGTGGAGGGCCCCTTTCCCCACCTGAGTCTGGGGCCTGCCTGACCGCACCTCCCACTCCCACAGTGCACAGCTACGGAGTGGGGGCTGCCTCCTGCGTCTACATGGGAACCTTCGCTGCTCTAGTCAAGATGGGCCAGCTGGAGGGCTGGAAAGTGTTTGGGGAGCCCAAGGTGTGAGGCCGCCTGGCCCGTGAGCAGAAATGTGGCTACAAATAAACGTTTGTGTATGTGTGCAGTCTCTCCCTCCTCCTCCCCCCGAGCCTGGGAGGGCCGGCTATGGCGACAAGGAGCCCCACATTCAGCGCCTGCCTGGCTCTGGGCCTCCTTGAGAGCGCCTGTCTCTATGCCTCCGGCCCTTCCAGGGGCGCGGGAAGCTCCGAGGTAGCATGTGCGGGCGCCTGGAAGTGGCCCCCAGCCACCGCCCCTTCTGGGCCCTGCTGCTCCCCTCTGGTCAGGGACCATCCCCTTGCCGGGCCCCCCCTAATGCCCACTGAGCGAGCGAGTGGAAACCCGCCCAGCCCAACGACGCCTCCGCATTCCTGGGCGTTGGAGCGAACAGTCCTGGACGGCCTGACAGGTGGGTGGCCGGCCATCGGGAGCCCGGCCGCCGGCGCGGCAGAGACCGAGGCCATAGAGTGTCCCGGGCCTGGCCCGCGGCTCCTGTCAGCCCGGTGATTTAAGCGGCCCCGGAATGCTGGCGGCCGCCCGGGGCGCTTCCTCCACTACTGGCGCGAGGCAGCCGGAAAGGAAGGGCCGGCGCGCCCCGACTCGCAGCCTCCGGGGGCCACCCTGGGGGACGGGGCCGGGCTGGGGGCGACCCTCGTACTGCCCCTGACCTGCGTCTGCCTCCCCATTCCCTCCTGTCCTTGAGGCCAGGACAGGGTGACCCCGACAGTGATGAGTGGTGCAGAGGCCGTGCCAGTCCCGGGTGCACAGGGCGCCGCGCTGGTGTCGGCGCCTCGTTTCCACGGCCGGCCGTTCCAGGTCCAGCCACACTGAGCCGCCCGCCCTCCGGGTCCAGCCTCCGGCCGCGAAGGCCCCCCATGCACGCGCCACCGAGGGGCTCGCTCCCGCACTTCCTCGACTCCAACGGCGTCAAACCCAGGTCCTGACGTCCAGCCCGGCCTTGAGCGTCCCTGGGAGGGCTGAAGACACCCTCGTGGGCTGGGGGCCCAGGAGCCTAGAGGCATCAGAGCAAGCGGCGGTTAAAACGAGGGGCCTGGCCTGCCACGTCTGGGTCGAATCCCAGTTCTTGCCGCTTTCTGGCTCCGTGTTCTTGCGTGAAATCTGCGCCCGAGGCTCAGCCTTCCCACCTCGCAGATGGGAATAACAGGGTTCTGCCTCGGGGACCATTCCACGAAGGATCAAGACCCGGGAAGGGCACAGCGGCTGTTTGACCCACGCCCACCGCGGGTCCGTTCCTCCCGCGGCCGGCAGGGGGCAGAGCCGAGGCTCGATCCAGCGGCCGCGCTGCCTCCACCTCCCCGGGAAACCCAACCCCCTGCTCGAATCGTCAGCCCCTTTCACGGAGGCGCAAAATGAGGCCCAGGGAGGGAGGCCGAGTTCAAAGCTAGCTCAGAGACCTGGGCAAGTTCCTTCCGCCTCCCAGCCTTCGTTTCCCCCTGAGCGCCAGAGAGCCCTGGACTGTGTTCACTGCCCTCCCCGCAGCCTAGGCCAGCCGCCAGTCTTGGAGCGGACCTGCCAGCCGCCCCCACCCCCGCTGCGGTCCATCCCCCAAGAATGAGGCAGGACAGGCGGCTGCCCACTGAACTCCAGGGAGCCCCAAACCCGGGGCCCCCTGGCCATAAACATTTATTAGGTTGTGAAGGGCTGAGGGGCTGACGCTATCCCCAACCCACATGTAGTCCCCGTAGGGTGCCCCTGGGGGGCGTCCAGCGCATCGGATCCCCACCCCGACTCTCTGCCTGGAACTTCACCTCCAGCCCCAGCAGCCCCCATTTGGGGCAGTGGAGGGCTGGAGTTTGAAGTAGTAGGCCATCCCACTCCTGAGCAGACAGAACATCGCGGGGTGGGGCAGGAGGGCTTCCTGGAGGAGGAAGCGGCTTCTCCAGATTAGCACTGAGGGTCGGCCATCCAGGCAGAGGGTGCAGGAAGTACAGTTCCCGCCGCCCTCGTGCCTGGCTCCTGCCTAGAGACATACAGTCTGCCTTCCTGCCTCTGGTAGTAGCACTTGTATCTGAATGTCCCTCCTGTGTTCACAGCCCTTCAGGGTTCCCATCTCCCTCCCATAAAGCCCAAGGCCTCCTGAGACCACAAGTCCCTTCACTAGCTGCCCCGTCCCCTTCCTGCCCTCCGCTCCTCCTCTTTCTCCCTCGATCACTCAGCTCCAGCCACACACGTCTATCTCCTGGCTGTTCTTCCAATTTGCCAGGTTCTGCCTCAGGGCCTTTGCACGGCCTATGCCTTCTGCCTGGAAGGTTCTCCTCCTACCCCGGTGCCTTCCCAGGCTCCTCCCTAACCTCCTCTGCTTCTTAGCTAAGGTGCCACCTCCCCAGTGAGGCCTCCCTGAAGCCACATTTCAGTGGCACCCGCCTTGCAGGAGCATTCCACACACACCCCTTACCTTTGTCTAGTTTTCCCACAGCACCTATCAGCTTCTCAGCCCTAGATGTGTACCCTCTGAGGGCTGAGAAGCTGTTAAGAGCCTGTGGCCACAACCCATGCCCAGCCTAGAAGATCCGGGGGCTGTGTGAATATATGTGGGATGAGAAGGGGTGGGGTTTAGGGAAAGGAGGACAGGAGGTTCTTGTTGCCTGGAGGAGGCCCCAGCTGGGGAACCTGGGGGTGCCTGGGCCTCTGTGAGTTGCCACCCCCCCCACACTACCCTCCCCACCTCATCCTCAAAGCTGGTCACTGGGTTAGCGGTCAGTACAGGGCTCTGGGTGTTGGGGTTAGTTGAGATCACAGGTTTGGAACCCAGCAGAGCCAAGTTCCCAGGTTATAGGTCCTTTCAGGCATCCCCTACCTCCACAAGGGCCACTCAGTCAGAGATCAACTTTGCCTGTGGGTAAACTGAGGCACAGCAGGCCCTAGGCTCCCTGACGTCCCACTTCCTCCACTCACTGTGGTCCTCGCCAGCCCCACCATCAGGGTTCCTGTTTTCATCTGAGCCAGCCAAGCCTCCAGGGGCTTTCTGGAATCTGGGTGGTTGGCCTGGCCCCAGCCCTGGCCCCAGACCAGCCCGCATCTCACCTCCAGAGCCCCAAAGAGGCTTGAACATTCACTGACCCAGAGCAGGGAAGGTGTGAGGCAGGGTGAGGCCAAGGCTCCAGGGGCCACCTGAAGGGGCTGCAGGCAGAGACCTGGCGAGTCCAATCTTGCACCCTCTTTTTTTTAAAGCCACCCAAATCTTTTATGTTAGCCTTATTCTTTTATTTTTAATGGCAGGCTTTCTAAAATATATTTTGTTTTTAATAGGTAAAACAGATACAGACCACAGAATTCAACAGATACTAGAGTGTTCCAGAAAAAATGCCACTCACCCCCTCCACCCCATCACCACCCCGATGTTGTCAGCCTCACTTTTTGTTTCTCCTTCCAGAATGTTCCTGCAGAGACAAGCATGTCTATATATTTTTTTTCCTCCCACACAAGCGATAGCTCACCCTTTCTGCCATTCCACAGCCCTTGGGGTTTCTGTCCTAAAAACCCATCTTGGATTCCTTCCTGGAGAGTAAAGAACTTCCTCCTCCTCTTTTTAACGGGTGCATAATATTCCCTCTGGTGGCTGGCTCATGATCCCCCACTAAAGCACGTTTAAAGAACGTTGGTTGCTCTCAGCCCACGGGAGCAGGAGTCACAAAATCAAACAACATATTGCATTGGGCAAATCTGCTGCAAAAGACCTCTTTAAAGTGTTAAAGAGCAAAGATGTCACTGTAAGGACTAAGGTGCTCCTGACCCAGCCATGACATTTTTAATCACTTCACTCTACATGCAAAAGCTGGGCGATGAGGAAGGAAGACCACAGAAGAATCATAGCATTTGAATTGTGGTGTTGGCGAAGAATACTGAATGTACCACGGACAGCTAGAAGAACGAACAAATCTGTCTTGGAAGAAGTGCAGCCGGAGCGCGCCTCAAAAGCCAGCATGGCCAGAGGGCATCTCTCGTGCTCCGGAAAGACTATCAGGAACGACCAGTTCTTGGAGGAGATCCTGCTTGGCAAGTTAGAGGGCGGAGGAAGACCCTCCCAACACGGGCTGACACAGCGGCTGCAGCGATGGGCTCCAGCACAGCAATGGTTGTGAGGCTGGTGCCGGCCTGGCGGTGCTTCATTCTGCTGCCTGTAGGGGTCGCTGTGAGTCAGAACTGACCTGACCGCACCTCACGACGACAGTAGCTGTTCCTAGTCTGTCAGGTCCCAGCGTGGGGCAAATGATGAACACACTTGGCTGCTAACCAGAAGGCTAGAGGTTCAAACCCACCAGCCACTCCTCGGAAGGGAGCTTGGACCATCTACTTCTGTAGTGATACCGCCTCAGAAACCCAAGGAGGGGTTGCTGTGATTTGGGGCCGACTCAATGGCACATAACAACAACATCGACAACAGAGGAGCTCGGGTGGCATACTGCCTAAGGCACTTGACTGCTAACCAGAAGGCTGGGAGTTCAAACCCACCAACCTACTAACCATTCCTCAGAAGGAATGTTGGGCAATCTACTTCCATAGTGATACTGCTTCAGAAACACAAGGAGGGGTCACTATGAGTCGGATCCAACTCGATGGCAGTGAGTTTGGGTTTTATATATATATATATGAATTATGTATTTTATTTATTTATTTATTTATTTATTTATTTATTTATTTATTTAATTTAATGTAGTAAATTACCTGGTATGGCTTTTCTAGCCATAAGCCTTTGTAAACTCCGTGGTGGAATTTGCTGTGAGCGACTGAGGAGCTCCTAATTTTAAAAGTTACCCACTTGGAGCATTTCTGTTGAGAGTGGCACAAAGCAATGTTCTGGGAAGTTCGCTCTCTCTCTCAGGTGCTTAGAATTCTGAATTGGTTAGTTTGGTCACTCTGCCAGGCTCAAAAGGAGGCCTCCTAGAGGCAGAAGGGATCTATCTGACTACTGGCTGAGAAGGACGTGCTGCTGAGAGAAATGTGCTCCTGAGAGACATGCGCTGCTGAGAGACACCCAGAGACACGCG